ACTTGTCTTACCGTAACAATAATCAAAAGAACTACCTCAAAGTAACTTCCCTTTTGACTACTGTTCATTTGATGACGTAAACACGTTTATTGGCGCGAGTATTTCAAGTGCAGAGAAGATGCCACAAGCATGGCGGACGACTTACATGAAAAAAATAAAGGTAAATATATGCCTATAAAACATGCTTTTTACTTAAATCATTACCGTTATGTATGTTTAAGATTGTTGCTTTAGTTAGATAACAATGTTTTTGTTACTGTTGTTTTAATATACCGAATTAAAGTCGAAGCTAATATAACAGTTAACATTCTGATAAAGAGAGGCTCTCCAACGGGGAATATTTTGTTTAAACTCTCTATCGTTACAATCACTACCGTTGCAGATATTGTGATAGTAGAATGTAACGGTAGTGATATTTGTCGTAACGGTTATGATAATCAGATATAAATGTGTAAGTTGCATCGTATTAAGTAATATATATAAATAGGCATTAAATACTTTAATATTTACTGTGGAAACGTGTTTACGACTTAGCTGATTGTATTACAGACACTAAAGACTTAATACAATTACAAATAAAAACAACTGCATCAATGGGACTCACAGCAAAACTGCGCATGGCGCGTTCGCGCGAAAGCCAGCGAGCGGACCCAGATGCCCATGCCAGATACAAACAAAGAGAGAGAGAGAGAGAGAGAGAGAGAGAGAGCGGGGAGAGAGAGGGAGAGAGAGAGAGAGAGAGAGAGAGAGAGAGAGGGAGAGGGAGAGAGAGAGAGAGAGACAGAGTGAGAGCGTAACAAAAGACGTCGAGAAGAGAGAAAGTTAAAGACGATAGAGGATATGTCATCTCGTGAGAAAAAGGCTCACACGGAAGCGCTGGATGTAAAACTCTAAACATTACAGACAGAGACGGATTACATGAAAATGACCAAGGAGCTGTATATCTGGACAATAACAGGTCAAACAGCACGTAAAAACGAAATGCACGAAAGAGAAAAAAACGACAAAGCTAAATGTTAACGTAAAAACAAAATGCTACAAATAAAGCTCAAGTTTCAGGAACGGCTTACAGAAAAATACAAGAAACGATAATTTAAAAACCGTCTTAAACATTAGGTACATGGCATTAATAAGTATGACCCGGTACAAAGAACTGATAAATAAAACAATAAATTTTCTGTGAAGGTCTTCCTGCTGTACAATACAATGATAATCAATATAAGACAACGATACAAAATGGCTAAGACAACTAAAGAAAAATGATTGATAGCAGAGTATGTTACAAGGAAAATGATATTAAAGCAATATGGTCTGACTACATTTGCAAATACAACATTAACAATATCTCGTAGACATCTTGAAAAAAAAGCCACTTCGTAAGCCTAACATAAATAATCTTAAAATGAAAAGAAATTTTTACACGAGTATTTTGAAAGAGATGATGTTTCACGAATTACAAAGAAACTGATCCGATTTTAAGCTGACGACCTGAAAACATAGCACGTGTCTATTTGAAAATAATTCAATGTCATACAGTTTGATCTGCAAGCGCAGGCCATTCTGGGTAATCAAACCCCGAGAAAAGAATAGTAAAACTTGTATGTGTAAAATCCAAGATAATTCAAACTTAAAGTTACACGCTGCATGCAATGATAGTTTAGTGCAGACAAAATACGTAAATGTTTTAATAAAAACGATTGTATGTGATAATACAAGCATAAATTACATGTACAGAGATTGCAGTTAATGTAAATATAGTAAAATACCTTTAGCCTGGACCAAGGAAACAGATCTATATAAGCAAACCACCAGGCATAAAGGGAAGACAAAGTAAGAACTAATAAATGAAAATGAAAACTCAAACATTGTAACAAAAATTGTAAAACAACAAGAACAAGGTACCAGACTAATTCTTGCAAAGGAAATAAACGACGAAATGCAAAGGGCCTGTAGGCACATTCTTAATATCAGAAACCAGTACAAAGCACTATAAATTTTGACGAAGAAACCTTACACATGACGAGTTAATAGCACATATTGATTTTTCTGAAAACTACGCGGGTAATTATGCCCACGAAATACAAGCAATGCATTTCAGTGGGTCCCGAAACTTTATTTCACACCACACAGGTGTTTTTTACACTAACGATGACATAATACCATTTTGCACGGAAGCTGATAGCCTTAGACATGATCCTTAAGCAATATAGGCACACCTTGAATCAGTGTTGAAATATGTAACTATCGGCAAAAAGTACAAACACATCAATTTTTTTAGTAACGGGCCTACAAACCAATATAGGAACAAACAGAAATTTTATCTTTGAACAAGAAAAATTCAAAAATATGGCTTTAAAATGTCAACATTTTTAGAACTTTTTAGAAGCTGTACATGGCAAGGGACATGCAGATGGTATTGGGGCAGCAGTAAGGCGAGCTGTTGACCAATCTATAATAGTTAAAGAATTAGACATAACATGTGCAAAAGATTTTATAATTTTAATACAGGAAAAGCGTTAGTAAAAGTATTTCCAATACACCAAGAGAAGATCTGTGCCATAGATAAGTTATATTATCTGTGTGCTTGTTTCAATATTTTGAAGGGTAGTGGTCTAGATGTAGAGTAGGAGATAATAAATCTGTATGATTATAATGATAATGTGAACGATAAACAACGCAATGATAAAAATTTGGCGAAATTTGTGATCCCTCGGAAGTATTTATCATACAAAATACACAAACATTGCAAACTCATTTCATTGAGTACATGAGGGATAATAAAAGGTGCGAAAACCCTAACACCCCTAACACCGGCTTATGCGGTACTCAATTTACAACACTTTAAAGAGCCGGAATCAAAGATACCGAAAAACAGAAAAATAAACAATGAAGTGAAATAAGAGGCAACATTTTACAACTCACTTGACACTTGCTGTTGTGAAATATCAAAATCTGAGGAAAGGGTGACTCTTCGGAAGAAATAATCACCACAAAATTACATGAAACTTTCAGAATTGGCTTGAATGAGTCTGTACATGAGGGATAAAAAGCTCACAGAATATAGATGTACCACAATTGTGTTGTATTTTGTCAATTCATTAATGCTTTCGTCGTTGACACTTGTCATATCTTACGTCAATGCATATGTTAGGCATACGAAAATAAAACGAAATAATAATAAACCCTTTTTAAATGAAATATGTCGTCTGTTAGATATTTTCTGCCAATAATTTGTTCTTGCATAAATTAAAAGAAAAAATATTTTTTTAAAAAGTTTTCTTTTAATAAAAAGGCTTTTATAAATGATACTTTTCCCTTTTTAAGCACACATTGTTCTGGAGCAAAACTTTTTTTGTACAAACTTAGATGCTACCTGTTTCGTTTTAAACCTTTTAAACGGAAAAAGGGTTTGAACGACATTTTAAGAAAAACTTTTAACATAACAAACAAGAAATTATTTAAATTTGTAAAGAACTACAAAATTAATGTAAATACTAGTAAAATAAGCACGCACAATTCATACATTCACAAAGTATTGATTCCGTCTTTCATTTGCACTGTATTCATCACACATTACATATATATGTACTTAAAATTTAAAGGACACACATTGTCAAATAAAAAATGTTCAACATTCAAATATGATTCGCATACAGAGTTCGAAAATGATGTAAATACAAAGCAAATCACTATATACTGAATTAATCTTAAAAGGCAGTATTTTTGTATCCAAAATTAATAAAGGTATTTAAATTTTTATTACACAACAATAACAAATTAAAACAAAAGGCATGATGGAAATATACATAAAATGAATAAGAACGTTTAAGTGTTTTTTCAGGGGCCTTTTTTGTAAACCCGCGACTCATTTTTAAATATAGATCTAAGTATTAATTAAAAGGCCCATACACAATTTACAGTTTGCATATAAATGCTACATTGATTTTAAATCAAACTTCTGGGACGAATTTTTTAAACTTAAACCAATTTTCTGATTTTTGTTGTTTTTAAAAATTTGCAAAAGACAGCAAAAAAAACAAAAATTTTTAAAAGAAACATGAACGAAATTAAAAGGATTAAATTTTTCATTCATCATTGTTTTGTCAATTAAAACCCTACTAAATTATCTTAAAATATATCCTGATTGCTTTTTTGGAATATACCACTTAGACAATTTGATTAATAAAAAAAATCCCAAAAAATCTAAATTTTTAAATTTCTTACAATCTATAACTTGTATTGTTATACTTGTTCATCGTGGGTCTTTTAGAAACTTGGGGTGCCAACTTTGAGCACATTTCTTAGTTATTTTTATTTTTCTTTGTTTCTTTTTTGCCCTCCAATAATGTAAGTGCTGGCCATTAAATGGGTCCACCATCCGTGTTTTCACACTCCATTTTTGCCGCCCAAAAGACCTTTTTAATCGTTTAAAAATATGGGAGGATAGAAAAAAGGAAGGTTTTAAACTTAAATTTATAAAAATGTAAAAAAAGATTAAATAGACAGCAAAAAAAAAAAAAATTCCCAAAAAAACTAAAAATTTTTCTTTTTTTTTCCCCAAAAAAAATTGAAAAAGAAAAAAAAAACAAAATTGGTTTTTTAAAATTTTTTTTTGTTTAAAAAACCCTTAAAAAAGTAATTACCAAAAAATGGAAAGGGGAAACCAAAATTTAAAATTTTAAAAAATTTTTCCCCTTTTTGCTTTTCTTTTTTAAAAAAAACATTTCAATTTTTTTCAAAAAAAATCCCGGGAATTTTTTTTTGGTTTTAAAAAAAGAAAAAAAAGTTTTTTAAATTTAAATTACCCGGGGAAAACTTTGAAGGGAAAAAATAAAAATAAGAAACCTTGTCAGCAACAAAATTTACATTTATTTAATGCCGGTGTTTTTCTTCCCAAATTTTTTTCTATTTATTTTTTATCAATGTAATCATTCTTTGTTAATAATGGGGTTTATGTTTTAATCTAAAGGTAAAATTTTGCGCATATCACAGATGCTTTTTTACCTATTATTTTGTAACAACTTTTGTTTTTGTGCCTGGCTCATATTATCATCATCCTCTATTTTCTTTCTGAAATAGTGAATTAAAACATTTACTAATAAACATGATAATAACGTATTAAAGAGACTCAAACAAGCCGATACGTTGGGCTTTCTTCATCTTACTATTGTTTTACATTTTAGCCCTAATTGTTCTGGAATTTCAATCATTAAAATAGACACAATATCAGGGGGTACTTGGGATATCTGTTACCTGTTATCGTGGGAGGTCTTTATAGCAAGAATTAAAAAACAAAATATCATATCTTTCACAAAATAAAAGCCTTCACAATTAAAATTTGTTTGAGGGAAAGATTAATTTTAATTGGTTTTTTTACTTCTAACCACCGTCCGAGGGGTTTTTTTGGCACTAAGTGACGTACGTTAATTAATTTTCTTACTTCCGCTATAATGTTTTAGAAAAAACTTTTGGTTTTTTCTTTTGTTTTGTTCTTTTGTCTTCTTTCTTTAAATTTTCCTTGTAAAAGAAAGATAAAAAACGAAGATGATTGCGTAAAAGAACAAAAAAGAAAACAAGAGAAAAACAACATGTCTCGTACTGAGCGTGATTGTGGAAACAATGAGGCTGTTTACGATTATAGAAAGACAGAACAATTGTTGATTTTAGCAAATTTTAAAAATTATTAAATGATCAAAGGAATGAACACACATTAACGAATAAAACATTTAGATTGTGTCACTATTAAAAAATTAAAAAAATTTCACATAGGCACTTTGCTTACAATATCCATATTATTTTTTAATTGTAAAAATTTAAAACATTATCACTTTTATTTCTATTTTGTTCCTTACGTAAGGCAAATATAAAAAATAAACTCCCCGAAAACTTACATTTAAATTACGTCTTTTTGTATTTTTTAAAAAAATTGGGCAAACATCCACATCTCTTTATTCTGTATCGAATTGATTTGCAAAAACGTTTTTGACCTATGTATCAACATACACACAAACTGAATTGCCTGAAACAAACATTTATATATAGTAGCCAATGGCTGAACTTTTAAACATAGCTATTAAAATGAAAGCTTTTGTTGCTCTGCTGTTTATGGGTTTATTTAAAAGTTTCAACTTGTTTCATTATTTATAGGAAGATGAAATATGTCGTTTAAGTATTATATTAAACCTTTCATGTAACATAACGCTTAAATAGCAAACGTGCTGGGTTGATTGTGTATCTTCTGTGGTTGGTATTATCCAATTTTAATATTAAAGTAAAATTTATCACGAAGGACGCGATATACGTATGTTTCAGTAAATAAATGATAAAAGGTTTACTAAGAGAATCCCAGCGACAGCAGTGAATGCCAAACTTATCGGTTCAAGCACCAACTCATCCCCGTTCCCACATTCAATATGCACCGATAACCCGCCCCCTGTGTCCACGTTTGATTGTTGAAGAAAATATATAACGGTGATGAACAGTGCATTGATAAGGAGGTAGGCTAAACTTGCTTTGTTCCTAAGAATAAAAATCGTTTTATTTGACACTGTAATGAAAATGATTCATAAATTAGATTGGAACACAGTAGTTTGTAGTTTGTCATTTTGCCAAGCTGTTGCAATGAAATAAACAGTGACAAATGTGTATTTGTTGATTTAACATAGAAATAGTTGTAAAATGAAAAGATGCCTTATAGTTAAACATTACGAAAGTTGTGAGAGCTTATGAAATATATTGCTATGCTGACCAAATGTTTGAATGTAGATCTTTTAACCTTAATTCCTTTAATTCTTCTTTAACCTTTTCCTGTTCTTTCAAACGTGTTTCCTCTTCTTCAGCACTGCCATCAGGTTTTTCACCAGAATACAGATATTTTTCAATAAGCCACTTCCAAAAGTCCTCCTCGTCTAATGCAAGATACTTGATTTTCTTTGACGATTCAGGAACAAAATTCAGATATTTAGAATATGGTTTAGCTGGTACCGTAGCAGACGGAACTGTATCTGAATAAACATTATTTTCAGATGATATTAATAAAAGATTATTGAACTGATTGTATGCAGCGAAACATTTCTTGATGTAACTTTCGATTTTTTTCAAGTACTTTATTATCGGAATTCTATGCATGTATAATAATTAATAATATACAAACTTATAATTAAAAACATGAAACACGTTATCACTTAATGACTTCAGATCTGAAAATTTCTGTCAGGAAAAATCTAAGCAAAACATTTGAGGGGGGAAGATATTATTTATAATCAGCCTCGCAGGAAGCATCTTAATTTTCTTAAATAGCCCCTTTCAAAATATGTTTAAACATAAAATACTTTACAGTGAAATATAATGTTAACTTTTGGCTGTACCAGAATGTCTTTCTCCAATATCTTTGGATTGGCTGTCATCTGTATGTAGTGTTCCAGCCTCTAACTTGTTCAGTTCGCTCTTTAACTCGACAGCTACTTTATTATTCCTTTGCAACTTTTGCGGTTGACAGCAACTGCAGCTTAAACTACGATATAAATGACAATTAGCTCGTACAACAATCACGTATAATTTTCATTTTGAGAATTTAGACAATACAGATTTTCAAAGTGTGTTAGCAACGTGAAAATAGTGTACACTTATGATGGTAAAATTTCTTTGTCAATAATATATATGCTTCTAAATTTACCAGTTCCCTATTTTGTTCATATCAATTTCCCTTTTGTGGCTGATATTAAACCATTTAATGTTATATGACTCTGGCGACTCTGACTATAACATATATGTGATACTTAAACTGGAAATGGTCACAAGTGCCGAATAGCCCGACACCCGCTTGGCGGAAAATGTGCTTTTTATTTGATAATTTTGCTCACAGGGAAAATGCAGTAGTTTATAGAATTCTTTCAAATGTTTTTGAACTACTTGTCCTACATCAATAAGATTAACTATAGTTTGGATTTGAAGTTTTCATGACTTCTTGAAAGGGCAAAACGTCATTTCTCCCTGAGATTTCAGCACTTCTTCTTAGTGAGATCTATCTACCTACAAAGTTTTACGTTGATACCTTTCATAGTTCTCAAGTTATGTCCTGGACAAAGTTCAAAGTATAAAAAAACAAAACAAAGGGAAATAACTCAAAAATAAGTGATAAGAAAGGTTACGGATCATATTCACTGCACTTCTACTCAGTGAGATTATATACCTACAAAGTTTAACATGATACCTTTTATAGTTTTCAAGTTATGTCTCGTACAAAGTTCAAAGTATAAAAATAAACAAAGGGCAATGACTTTATAATGGTTCTCCTGCACTGCACTTCTACTCAGTGAGATATATATACCTACAAAGTTTCAAGTTGATACCTTTTATAGTTCTCAAGATATGATCAGAACAATGTTCAAAGTCTAAATATGAGCAAAGGGCAAAATCTCCATACTTCTATTCTTATTCACTGCACTTCTATTTAGTGAGATAATATACATACACAGTTTAAGTTGATACCTTTTACAGCTTTCAAGGTATGCCTCGGACAAAGTTCCAAGTTTAAAAATAAACAAATGGCAATAACTCCAAAATCAAGTAAGGCGGAGTTATGTTTTTTCTGTACTGCACGTCTACTTAATGAGATCTATATACCTACAAAGTGGCTTGTTAATTTCCCATTCTGTTTCAGAAGTTATGTCCCGGACAAAGTTCAAAGTGAAAAATTAACTAAAGGTAATCACTTCAAGAAAGGCAAGGCAGAGGTATTGATCTTTTGCACTGCACTTCTATTAAAAGAGTTCTATCCACCTACAGAGTTTCTTGTTAATACACCTTGTCGTGTTAGAGTTATGTCCCGGTCAAAGTTCAAAGTGTAATAAAACAAAAGGCAATAACTTCAAACTTAGGCAAACAGAGTGTGGGTTTTTTCCATTGCACTTTTACCTAATGTGATTTATCTACTTGCAAAGTTCTCTTATAGCTATAGAGTAATGTCCCGGACAAGAAATCTGTAACGGACCGATCGACCGCCCAACCGACCACCAGCTGACTCCAGTATACCCCCTAAAACTTCGTTTGTTGGGGCCAAAATATCAAAAAGGATCTTGTGTCAAAACAATGGTTTAAAGCTGTGACCAGCGAAATAAGTGAAATATTATGAGATTACATTCTATCCACCAAACTTTGAACGTCCCTCACACTATTGCTATCTTCTTTCCCATCACCTTTTAAAAACAAATTAAAGTTTTAGTATTATGGAATATGACTAAAAGTAAACATAAAATATAGTATTGATTATGTTTCAAATAACACTTCATAAACTTTAAATGTATTTCAGTAAACAATTAAACAGTTAATGCTACTACCGTAGCAGTAAAATTAAGCTATTGCTCGACAACATACACATATCCCATTGTGGCTGAGGGGTTGCTTTAAGGTTTATGTATCAGGATTATAGCCACCGTTTATCCCAGCGCGATTGTAAGATGCGACTTAGTAGGTTCTAATGACTGTCGTTTATGCATCTCTTAGCTTCTTACGTGGCTTTTGACGCTTTGTGTAGCTTTACGTGTGTTACACCCAAAATCATTTCTCCTGTTTCTGCGCCATAAAACCAAACCAAACAAGCAAACAAATAAATATACACTCGTTAAAGTACCTTTAATTTCTGTCAAGGGATACATTTCGGTGAACCTGTATTTGCATATATCTATTTATTTATAGTTTCAATTTCATTACCTTGCTTTGCTTTAGGAGCCTCTCGAGTTCCCCAGGAAACGTTGTTCAGATTTATTACCGAATACAACATTAAAAGCATTGACATGGAAGGAATGGCAATAAAAAATAAAAATCCATGGATGAGACACTTTGTTTCCTGAAATAGCACGTTAATTTTTCAATGATTACTAAAACTATCACTAAATGTGATTCAAACCCCCGCAAGACTGCTTCGGAAATGATGAAGTTACTAGAAACAGAAAATCTTGCAAAAGGATTGAAACAGAATTAAGGTTGTGGACAATTAAAGACAGTTGTGGTTCTTGTTCGAGTATGTTGCATTTCCTTTCAATGTGGTTGACCATTGGTGAAGTTTTATTGAATTACTCTGTAATAAGTCAAGAAAGAGTTACGCTTCTTGGGCACTGCACTTCGTCTCATTGCGCTTGACCATTGTATGAAGTTGCATTGAATTCTAAATATAAGTTTTATCTGCGCATTTTGTAACCAATTTTGTGTTTAAATGTTAAATTCTGCTTAAGCCGGTGCTAGTGGCGTGGACGGTAGTTTGCACTTTACAGTACCGTCAACGAACAGGCTCAATCAAAGCAAGTCTGCAACATTTAACAATTTTGCCATGTTGCGCTTTCTTTAGGGATTCTGTTTTTCTCTGTTTCTATTTTAAGTTATGCACCGAACAAGGAAAATGAACAAAGGGGAATAACTCTACAAATACTGAAGATAGAGTTATGGTTATTGATTGTACACTGCACTTTCTCTCATTGCGCTTGACCATTGTATGAAGTTGTATTGAATTCCAACTTCTATTTTTCAAGTTATGCAATGGGCAAAAGTAACAAAGGGGAATAACTGTAATTAGTCCTAATAGAGTTATGGTTCTTGTGCACTGCACTTCATCTCAAGTTTTTCACTGGACAAAAAAGCGTGACAAAGGGCAAAAACTCTTGCCAAGATTAAACAAAGAGTTATGCATTCTGTGCTCTGCGCTTTCTCTCAATATACTTGACCATTGTATGTAATTGTATTGAATTCAAACTAGTAGTTTTCAAGTTATGCTCTGGACAAGGAAAAAGCATTGGAAAAGTAAAAAAAGGCAATAACTCTATAACTTCTCTGAACAGGGTTATTTTTCTAATGCACTGCACTTCCCCTTATTGTTTTTGACCAGTGTATGAAGTTGTTTTGGTTTCCAACTAGTACTTTTTAAGTTATGCTCCGAAAAAAGGAAAACTATCAAAGGGAAATTACTCAGTAATTAGTCAAGTTGGAGTTATGATTCTTGTGAACTGCATTTTCTCTTAATGTGCTTGATCATTGTATGAAGTTGTATTGAATTCGAGCCATTAGTCTTCAAGTTATGGTCCGAACAAAAGCAATCCATGGAAAAGTAATAAAAGGCAATAACTATGTAATTACTTTAGATAGAGTTATGGTTCTTGTGCACTACACTTCCACTTTTTGTGCTTGACCATTGTATGAAGATGTTTTTAATTTCAACCAGTAGTGTTTAAGTTATGCTCCAGACAAGGGAAGGGACAATAACTCTGTAATTAGTGAAGATTGAGTTAAGGTTATTGTGCACTTCACTTCCTCTTGAAGCAGCACGCCACCAGATTTATGCTAATTTTCATGAAAATTTTGAAAATGTATTTGAATGTGTAGTTTTGTGAAGTAAACAAAAGACAGCAATTTACACATTATCAATGGCACTTTCAAACCATGTAAATTTAAAAAAGTGGTCAAAATATGCATAAATTGCCCTTACTGCGTTAGTAACGCAGAAGAAATGTGGTTGTAAATACTGAAAAATCAGTCATTAATCGCACATAACATGTAAAATTTTACTTGAATCTTGAAACTTTTTACTTTTCATAACATCTTAGTACATTTTTCTCAAGTTTAATTTTATTGAAATATTTTGACTCATCTGGAGGCATGCAGTTTTAATGTGCTTAACCATTGTATGAAGTTGTATTGAATGCCAACCATTAGTCTTCAAATTATGCTCCGGACAAGAAAAATGCAACGGACCGCTGGACCGACCAACCACCGAGTGACTCCTTTATACCCCCAAACTTCGTTCCGGGGGTATAAAAAGGTTAAATGCATGGTGAAAATTCTTTATGATTAATACTTTGTTTTATTCCAGTTTTGTTTTTGAAATATAAATGTATTCTATAAGTTAACAAATTATTCATGAATACAAAAAGTATCTTTAAAAAAATACTGTTATTCCAAACGGGAAAGACAAAAACTCAAACGAAATGTTTTCAACATATAACATTAAAATGAACTAGTTGCAAGACAGAAAGAAAATGGAATAACAACCTTTGGGTGTGTTAATCCTGACAGTACAAATATACCGGCCACAATCAGAAGAAACCAGGTTATGACTGAACAAAATCCACTTTCTACAGCCTCTCTTATCAAACCAACGAGAACTATCATCATAACAAGTGAGTAAATAATGGACAGTGCGGCTGCTACATTGAGCTGAAAAAGTGTATGTCAATGTTCAAAGCTTGAGAATAAAGTAGACATAAATATCACATTGTGTAATACAATATATTTCTGATTATTTGCCATATAAGTGACGTAGTATGATGGCTGAAGTAAACATGAATTTTTCTATTTATGTCCTAATTTAAAAAAAATCTTAAAAAGCTAAATAATTGTTAATTCGAATTAAACAAACTAAGTTTTTCCCACAAGAAAAAATCCTTAAATGATAGAAATAAAATGTATATCCTTAAACTATGACGTGTTTTACTTCTCATACGATATGGTAGATTTCCTTTTCAATCGTATACTGGATTAATATTTAAATCATAAACAATTATAATATATCAGTTACCAAGTTTCAATCGAATATTTTTCCGTGTATAGGTTATTGGAGAAGTCACATTATTAGCTCAGGTAATCATATACATATATAATATGAATTGATTTGAGAATTAAGTAGCGTAAACTAGGACGGTACCTGGTGTTCAGTTTTGGCAAAGAAGCAAACAATTACAAACAGAACAACGGGTAGTAAGTTTATCAGCAAGGCCGCATGTAATGATAACTGAGGATAGGCAAGATTCGTCGCCCCGATTATCATCAACAGGAGAACGCCAGGGGTCAATATGGACGACACAAACCAGGACAACTGCAGACAAATGTACGGTATAGAGACGTTGTCGTTGTTTCTCGTTATTACTCTCCAGTCCGACAGCAAATCTAAAATGTTTGCCATCGTAGAAGGTGTCCAACGTCGCCGCTGGTTGTAAAATTCTTTGAAACCTATAGATGAAATAAATGTATTTACTTCAACTGTTTGATCATATTTTAGTTGCTTTTGTTTGAACAAGCTTCAAGTTTAATCAATGCTCATTTTATAATATAAAATATTTGTGCAATGCACATTAGACATTTTTATAGCGTAAACATAAATATATAAACTTACGGATGGCTTTATGTTTATTAATTTGAGAACGGGTTAGGTTAAGTGGACGATGTGTAGATTAAATTATAAGACGCAAAAAACGGATCTCACATAATCTAAAATATCATCAATGTAGACATTTAGAATAAATAAACAAAATACCCTCAGGTGCAAACGTGAAAGCATCTGACCCAGCACAATAGTCGACCTTTTTGCCTTGCTTCAGCAGAAGTGTACATAACCATCTGTCTTCGCCTATGCAAAAAGACCAATACAACGTTGTCATTTTGATTTTTGAATTAGATGCATAACATGGAAAATTGCATCACCCGATTGATACTTTATTTGTTATACTATATATTTGTTGAATGTTAAACAATTAGATAGTTTATTTATTACTTTAAATGATATCAATGGTGAAAGGATTTGTGTAAATTTGAAAATATTGACACAACGAAAAATGGTTTCAAATTTATTCGAGTCTTGTAAATGATGTCAAACAATCCATGCTTAAAACTATATTTAACATCAAGCGATTTGAAAGAATACAGTCATAAAATTTACTGCTGAGGTAGTAAATATATGTTATGGTGATTATGTTTACATCAACGTTTACCTTGATCATATTGTATATGATGGCGAGCTTCGGTTGGCATGGTGGTATATCTTTTCATTACGTTGTCCTCCATCAATGCTGACCCTCTGAATAAGCTAAAGCAACCCGGGCTGCAAAGCACGCAACCAGTCACGTGTTCTGTAGCTTTCACCAGCCAGTGACTAATTGCATACTCAAACTTCTGATACCATACCATTGGCCCTACAAAGTTAGTTCCGAGTCAAGTTAAAACAGCAGCCTGCAGTTTCATGATTTTTCGTATGACACTATTGAAATCGTACTTGAACGTAAACTATTATTAAGTGTACTTATACTAACAATCCACGGACATGACCAAAACATGTCACAAAATGCAAAATATAGGTCTTACTGCGTGACTAACACAGTGGAAATATGATGATAAATAATGCAAATCATTCATTGATCACAGATCACATGTTACTTGAACCTTTAATTATTTTACGATTTTACGTTTCGAAAAATCATATCATATTTTTCTTTAAACAAAATCATTGAAGTTCGCCATCTTGAGGCATATAGCTTTAAAAACTAAACTAAATTTGGTAATTGCAGAAAAAAATACGATTTAAAAGATGACGTTCTAGAGCAATTTATACGCCATTTTTCGCGATTTTGCAAGACAAATAAATGCAAATACCAAAGCAAATAAAAAATAAACGAAATAAACGAAATATAAAAATCATAAGATGTAATGCTAAAATACACATTTGAGAATTTCTAATAATACAGTTGCATTTACTTTTTAAACTTATTTCACATAAATAAAAAGCGATAGTTAGTGATAGCAATGTTTTTTAATATAAGAAAAAATATTATCAAACATTTGAGCTGCATCACGACAAAAGCAACGTAATGCGTTTGCGACCAGCATTGATCCAGACCAGCCTGCACATCCGCGCAGTCTGATCAGGATCCATGTTGTTCACTTACAAGCCCCATTACAAGTAGCGAAACTGATAGCGAACAGCATGGATTCTGATCAGACTGCGCGGATGCGCAGGCTGATCTGAATCCATGCTGGTCGCAAACGCACAATGTTGGTTTTGTCGTGACGCGGTTCATTTACTTTTAACAATTTAACATACCTTCTCCTATTGGATGTATCCTTCCACAAGCAGCGCCTGTTTGTTCATTCCTCCTCATTCTATCAATCAACAGTTTGACAGCATCCGGTCTGAAGTCTACGTCACCGTCCAGAGCGAGTATGTAAATGTTCTTCGCTATCTCCAATTGTTTATTCTTGTCTTCTTCAACAGTACTAAGTTTATGTGAAAGGAAATAGTACATATACATCACCTGAAATAGCAGAAAACTCTTCTATCTGAACGAAGAAAATAAGAAGTTAAAAAGGTGTGAACTAAATTTCAGATCTACTTATTTCTTATATGAAGATCATATTAACGTATATGTTTTCGCCTTTATTATGATTCCGATTTCCTTAGAAAGCTATTTTCAGCCATGCAATCAAACCGGTTTTTACAGACAGGCTAAGAAGAAGTATCAAAATATAGTTGAAGGTGGAAGTATAACAAATTGGTGTTTTATTTAGAAAAACAAGTTATTTGAAAGAAGTAAACTTCAAATGATTTTTTTCAATGCACAATATTGTTTTGACAGTTTAGCTGCAGGGTATAAGGGAAAAAAGCCGTGTTTGTTATCTTTAAATCGTTAAATTACAAACTCGGTATTGACTTTCCAGCGGTTAAACTTAGAAAACACATTGCTTTTAAAATTGTGAAAGCTCGCCGATGATTGGCATTTTTGAAAAATCACCAGAAGATGACAACCTATTGGTGATTATAATATCCTAATGTGTAATGCCTTTTACGAGCTGTATGAGCTGATTTTAATCAGATTGGGGGACAGAGAACAGTAAAAATAATGTTTAAAAACGGAACTTGTACGGTTTGGATAAATTTGTTTATGACAGAAAATAAAAATCTATGGAACCCTCTTGCATAAGTCTATAATCATATATCATTATACATTTTATATCTTATTATTAAATTGTAATTTTAACAACCTGACAAGCCGTCCACGTTTTTTACATAAAAAATCAATAATGTTTTATTTCTAAATACTTAGAAATAGAATGTAATCAAGTTCTTCATGTTAAAAGAATCAATGTGAGTACCACGGTGCATATCCATATCGGTACCCTCTTTGCGAAATCTGCTGAAACGGTACCCTATTTGCACATGCACAGGTCATTCTCTGCTAAAAACAAACCAGCGATGGATAACAATCCACTAAAATTTCATTGTAATAAGGAAAGGAGGGATGACACTTAGAAAACATGTATACCACGGAACACTAGAATGTTTTATTTATGTGCTGAGGGCAAAGAGGGTACCGATATGGATATGCACCGTGAGTACGATATTTTGCTGACAAAAAATTAAAAAAAAAACCTGGCTCCATCGCTTCTTTCTTCTTATTTTGTACTTATCCTTCAGATGAGCAATTAGACGGTTTTCACCAGGTAAGGTCCATATGAGACGACCACCGTACGGTGTAATTCTCCGTCGAGGATGATTGATAGGTAAGATCAGATCTGGATACGTATCACTGAATAATGAATATTTTGTAAATATAAATCGCAAGACAGCTAAATTGTTTTCGTGAAATTAGGCTGGTCTAAAGTGACATCATGCTCATAAGTTGCCGAAGTTGTCTGGATTGACTAAATATTCCAAAAGGTTGACAGATATAACGGTGAGTAACTGTGGTTAACATTAATGTTTGAAGAAATTTCATTGGACCATGTGAATTATTTATCGTTCATGCATACACATAATACATTTGTACGGAATCAGGCAAAATGTAAACTGAATAGAGTCTGTTCATTCACTATAATAGAACCTTGGATGGGTATAATGTCACTTTAAACAGAGCAACCAAGTTAAGGTACTCAAATCTTACACGCATCATATTTTTATGAAATTATACATTTTTCTGAGATTGTGAAAAACTACAATAATTATAATAAATTTCCTCCAGCTCACATTATATTGAATGAGCGATCTTTGATAGGAAGTACTAGATAATTAGCGGATAGTGTTTACCAAATATGTAACAAGAAGTATCTTGAAAAAGATACTCAGCGAAGTTAAACAAGTTAACTTGCCTATGTTATAAATCATCCGCCTGATTATTTTTTTGCGAAAAGTTTATTCTATAATTTTCCTTTACATTTCATTTGATGATGGCAAGAACTACCTTTAACATTTGTAAACTACCCTTATAATTTTATCATCTTATCTTATTTTAGAATGGCCAATGAGATTCCCAGATTTCAGTTTGTAATTCAAAATGACGATGCAAATTATTCTTATATTAAGTTTTTCCCTGTGAATTTTACAGGAACTCAAACAGATTTTATACGGCTTTCGACTGGAAAAGGCATAACCCTGCAAAGCGGATATTTTAAATAATTTGTAAAGAACTTACTTTGCAGTATTGTACAAAGCTTTAATAAACGTATGCACGTATCGGTTTGCCATCATATGCTTCCCTTCAACAAATGCGTCATCGAAGAAAATATGTACTGTAATATTAAAATACGGCTGTCATGCAAGGGTAAACAAAATATAAATGTGTCATTATTGTTATATCTATATATTATGCGTTTCCACTATAGAGAAAATGGATGGAGGACACTAATTTTGCATATTTTGCATTGTTCATCATATACTAGGACTTTAAATGGCAATTCAAATAAGGAAACAATACAGATTCTTGATATAAACAGAACTAGTAGATGAGTGAGCCGATATCATGACACTTGTTCCACATTATGCGAATGTATTGCTTTGCTGTGTGTCATTTTATATTAATATCTACCTTCAAAATTGTAGTAATCCGGATTACTCTGTCTTTCCTCCTTGCGAATTCTCTGAGCACATTGATGAATGTCCATCCTTTGGTTAAAAAAAACAACATTAATTAATTCTCAGTTAAACACTTACACATTAAAAGTAACATTATGACTATCCTAGTGTTAAAGATCAATGAACAGATAAAAACTAAATACATCTTAAAATGATTGTGTTTATTTCTATAGCTCCTTGGTTGAATGTAATTAATTCTATTTTTGAAAAGTTAACTTTTCAATCGTGAATACAAATATATTTTCAAGAGAAATGCCATTGGCTATTTTAATATCTGAGGATCGTTATCTTCAATCTAACTATGCTTTGAACTATAGCTTTTAAGAAAATGATTGAACTAACAAATTGACTTAAGGAACTCTCGGCAAAAAGAAATGCCGAGGCATTTTCTTTTATATATTAATTATGTTTTCTGATTTTCTGATGTTCTTTCATGCTGTAATTAACAGCTTCTTGTGTTATAATAATATTGATACAAATAAACGACTGAATTAAATAATGATATCAGTACATGACTGAATTTGTCATTTATGAAACAAAACAATAGGTATTTTTCTAAAACGACAATCTTAAAAAGTAGTAAAGTAAAAGTACATGACTGAATTTGCCATCAATGAGACAAGACAATAGTTATTTTGCTAGTGCAACAATATTAAAAAATATGATTTATTAAGTGTAATAAAATTTTACCTGTACAGGGACTTGAATAACTGTATCATCTCAACTTCCGTCTCATGCCACATAGTAGCACAAAAATATATCATTGGAAAACCTTCTAGTAGTTTATTTGTATTATCCTTGCTACCTTTTTTATTGTCGTCTGTCCCATTATCACCTAGGTCGGTCTTTTCTCCAGGGAGTGATTGGGAGATATTTTCAGTCGTATCGTTTGACTTGGAAACAGGTGTTGTCTGAAACTTTATTATTTGCAAGGTTTTACCATGCTAGAAGAACCTAAATGTTTCTGTTTAAACTTATCATATTATTATGATGATTATGATTTTGTTTCATTAAACTCTTGTATGTGAAAGTATATGTAGAGCTTAACTCAAAGTAACATTATGTTATTATTAGAACGATATTCTTAAAAAAAACCGTTATCTCTGTAAAAATGGGAAATAATACATTTTTATTTATATGGCGTTTTGATATTTTGTAAACCTTGATATACATACAGACACCGTAAATAAGGACACTATTAATAAAAAGATAAAATGATAATTATAATGATAATAAAGACAAACACAACATTATGAACAGACTAACGTTGTTCTCCTTGCATTTGTTTAGCATTAACGACTGCTCCAAAAGTGCTCCGCAATAGGAAGGTGCATAAAATATCCTGAAATCACAAAACATATCAAAGCACTTCGATTTGAACTGTGTGAACAATTAATGACAAGCAGCATTTATTAAACACTTCATATATTTGTTTGAAACATTTTAGATTTGATGATGTCAATATTGGAAGAAAGATTTAATGAGATATATTTCAGAGGAATATGAATAATAATGATTCTGTAAACACTCACTTGTTTGAAAATTACCTATATTTCGGTAGTGTCTATAATAATAGTACTGATAAATGCAAATATTTTATCAATGGACCGATTTTAGTCAATACTACCTCTCATTCACCATCACACAGACAAGAAACATAAGATACATACATGTTTTCTTTACTCATCCTTTCCGTTTCCATTGTCCATATATGTCCCGCTGTAAGTATGAGACCCACGTATCCTGTTAGTGAAGCAATTATCATATATGCGAGATTGCTGATTGACTTGCTCCCTTCAAACCAGGGAAATGGAAGTTGACATATGTGGTCTCCATCATTCAACTATATTGAAACGAATAGTAAAATAAATGCGTGACAATAAATATAAAACATGTCAAAAAGGAAAGGAAAAATAATGCAGCTAGATAATAAAGATAAATGTTAATATGAAATATGAAAAACTAGTTTAAACGGATAGTTTACTGTTGGTCATCTTAAAGTTAAATATTTGTCATTCTAAAAAAAAATCTTGCTTTGCAGGAAATCAAATATTCTAGACTACTCAACTTTAACATTTTTTCTAAAAAATAATTACATAAATTTAGATAACGGTTTTCACCTTTATCACACACGTTCAGAGAATAACAGATTAACCGCCATGACACATATATATAAAGTGTCAAATCAAAATGTTTTCTAACTTGAATGATATGTAAAAGTAGAAACGTGTCCAAAGGACAAAGATGCCCGGTATTCCACTGTTTATTTTTTGTACATGTCCGCAAGCCAGCGTTGCAGCGTAGCAGTTAGACATTTGACGGACGGAAAGACGGACAAGGTCAAATCTATAGCAAAAACCTTGATAAGCGGAGACATAAACATTTGGCAAACCTGAGAAGATACTGCCAATATCAACCCAAATGTAACAGGTGTCACTAGACAAATAGGAACTGAGAACCCTTGTATATGAACAAGAACTTTTATTGCTGCGACACTTAGTCTGAAAAATATCAACAAGATAAATATGTTTTTGAAAATAACAATCAATTTCTTCAGTATATATTCCATACGCATTTAGTATATCATCTAGTACAAAACAACAATGACAACAAACAAACTGATAATTTAATATTAAATAAAACTTGAAATAAGTTAAGATTAGTAATCAATTCAATCAATACGTACTTTTTCTACAACTGTCGTAAAAATGTACCTATTCGATATACATAAATTATAACAAGTACCTTTGACAAAAGAGGCTAGCTGATATTCCAACAACTGCGACAATAAATGGTGTAGCAGTTTTGCAGAGGTCCCTGTTCAGCAACCAGTTATCGTCTATAATTGCAGACATTTGTTTTGCAGATTGGTTTAAATTACCAAATAAGGCGTCCAAGCAGTTGTCACATGGCGTCCCGTGTATTGCAATAACCATCACAAAGGTAATACATATTTTCCATGTATTGACGACTGCATGCATTTTTAAGCTACTGCGAAATAGTGAGTGCTTGTACTCATAAATCCAGTTCGGGTATAAGATCTGTTTTTCACTGTCATCATTTTCTTCGTTGTTTTGGTTATTTTCCTTAACTTCATTGTTGTTGTTTGCATTCTTAACCTGTTTCACGTGAATTTTTATATGACCGTTTCCTATTCCTTGTTCTTTCTGCAACTGAAACAGAAATCCCAGAAAGTTACGTAATCTAATTGTTTAAGAAATTTTAGAGGAACTTATTAAATTTGAAAAATGGGATCAAGTATTTGATTTTAAGGTTTAGACTTAAATGTGCAACGTTAGTATAGACCTGCTTTACTTAAATCTGCTATTATTTAACTCATTTTAGTGGATATTATATATGATGTATGTTCAACAGAATTTTATACAAAAAGAGAGATCTCTTACTTTCATTCTTGCTTTATTTTCTTTTTCATTCACTAAATTGATTATATAAAAAATATTTTCATTAACAAGTTGTTTAGCATCTAGCTATTCCTTCGGAGTTTTAATTACGATTTTTTTATTAAGGCTTGGATAAATGATAAATAAATCGACATAATTCCTTAGAGACGAACAAAGCTACAGAAAGTTTTATTTGATTGTAAAACCAGGTAATGAAATAAATGTCTTCAGAAAGTAGTTGGCCGTTGTTTTGTTTTCTTGATTTTGTGTATGTGTGTGTGTAGTACCCTTCTTAACAAGCTGATCTAGTATGTTATAAACTTTCCCAGTTTGGACACTAAATGATTTATACTTACGCTTGGTAGAAAGTTTTCCATCCAACTTACTGACACCAAAATTGGCGATAAGACAGATAGCACAATTTGAGCCACTTGGACTACTGGAGTTGATGCTGATGATATATAAACTCCCCAAAATGCCAAAGACACAACGCTTAACACAAGCGCCATTATTCTAACAATAAAAGACCAGGCACAACTTGACACTTTTTTGTTCGAATCTGCAAAAAACCCTCAAAATTCAGTTCCACTTTAATTGTTTTCAGTCATGTAATAATAAATTGAAAAGGTAATGAATTCAAGCGTATGTTAGACTTTAAGACGAAAATGTGATTGCATTAGCAATTAATATCTTTAACTAAGAAAAAGTTAACTGTCTGTGTTGACGCAGTTTGATGCGAAATATTTGATTGATGTTTATAAACGCAGGACATGCCTATCTGTGAATACAAGTCATTGTGTGCTATTTATAAATTTAAGGGTGTTTATTTTATATGGTTATTTAATACATTAATCCAATTAATCACACCTTTTTGCATGCGCACATTCTTGTCTCCGAAGGCAAAATTTACAATTGATGGTACAACCGACACGCTACAACTGTACCATAATCCAGAAATTGGGTCAAGAGAGGGAAGCACGTAAAACACGAGGAAGCTGAGCCCAAATGAGTGGAGTGTGGCTGGTATAAGAGCCTTGAATAAGTATATGCAATAAATGACAATACATGCTGCCTACAATTTCAAAGAAATCATAAAGTATGAACAGTTGATAGGATTTATTTTATAATTTGACTGTATATTCTTTTATATTCGTAAAGAAAGCAAACATAATATGACAGAAAGCTCTCTTTAAGTATAGTTTCCAAGTTTGTGAAGACCATCAGTATGTTAAGCTTTTTTGCAATTATAGCTAATCGTATTTGTAGACAAAAAGTTCTTGAAATAATGTTTTCCTTTGTATTTTATGAAGTTTAACATTCATTTCTATCATGTAACTGTTATAATAATGCACGCGTTTTGCAACTAAACAGGGGAACGTTTATGAGTTGTCATGGTTTTATTGAATACTCACGGTCATTTGTTTTCTGTCAAAACATTATATTAAAAACATGTTTATCATTGGCTGCTTTTAACAAAAATACGATTCAATGAACAATTAGTAGACATATGTTGACCGGAATATGTAAGAAATACACAAAAGGGTTTTCCTACCAAAATAAGTGTCTTAAAACGAAGAGTTCCTGATTTTCTAAATATTATTCTCCATACGCAGAATAGTACTGTGAAAACATTTGGTGTAACAACCATAACAAACAACGCCCAAATGTAATATATATTGGTCACAGTGTCATTGCCAGTAGTGGTTTGGTTGACTAAAACAAAAATCACATGTTCGTTAAATCAAATTACATTTTAGAATGCAAGAAAGATAACAATTTGTGCCCGTTTAAGTTATTTTATAGTACTCTTCACTTAGTAATACATTCAATCTGACTTGTATGCATATAAGTATGCTTTGAACACATTAGTATATGTTTACACTTTAATAGTCTATACATATCTACACAAGATGTATTTACATTTCATTAAAATTGCTTAGTGGATTTCAAATTTGATAACAATTTAGAAATTGTCTTCTGTATGTTTCGTTTAAGGGTAAATTAGAATGTAACAAAATACGCAATTTACCTGTAATGTTGTAGAGGAAAAGTTTATCAAACGTCTTCAAAGCAGATGATGTTTCTCCTGCAGGTATGAATATATTCCATGTCAAAATAAGTAAAACTCCTTTTGACACAACTGCAGAACACAGCATTACCATGAAGAGAAAGCCAGAGAAAAAAAGTTTGGTTACAAGGTAAACTTTATTCCAGAAGACATGGTCATCGGGTGGTAATTTGTCTCCCTCTGTTTCTTTAAATCTGTCCCACACTGTCTTTCTCCTAAAGTTATTATGTGAACAAAATCAAACATGCCATACTCCATTTTACTTTACAGAGGTATAAAATATCAGTTAATTGAAACTTAAAATAGCTACATTCTGTGAACGGCTTTTGTCTTGGTAATCATGTATTGAAATATCCTCAGAGTAAAAACAGGGCCAGGGTAAATATTTCTCTTATCCATAATATATTAATGAAGAAAAAATTTGTTATCATAATTCGATAGATAGCTAGGAATATCATGTCATACAACTGACTCGTTTACTTTTTTATATCGAAGGATTACATAATGATTGACGGAATTGACGTTATGAATTACAGACAGCTAGACCATTTGTAATTCAAATGATATATAACAAATACAAATTTTCTGCGTGATAATTTTTTTTTCGTTCCAACGAATTTGCCAAATGCAAATTTTATTAAAAGACACGTACATAAGTATGTATTTTTTCAGGATACTCTAAATTTTAGACTCATAAATAATTTATGATATTATTTTTTTTCTCAAATCTTATCTTACACATCAGCAGGCTTATCTTCCACCTTTGTCCTCTTCTGTAAAATAAAAAAATATAACTGTAATTATATCAAATAAACAATTGCGTCCAATATTGTATGATTATGTTTTTTTATGTTTTTGTTTTTTGTGTTTGGTTTGAAGGCATTTTGCGATTGGTCCACCTTACTGGCTTTACTTGGGTGACTAGCTATTAATTCCTATATTTTTGATTTAAGATAAATTAGATTTTTTACATACGGACACTGGTTTTAGTTTTTAGAAAATATCTGTCAAGTTTGAGCCTGTGAAAGGGGAATTTATTTTACGCGCACGAATGTATTTAAGATGAAACAAAAATGTAAAAAGCAATGAATATTTGTTACTTACAGTCACTTTTTTACAATGAATAGGTCCCAAATGAAAACAAAGACACAGATAATTTCTACATAAAAACATGCTTAATATGCAAAAATAATTCTTCTTAATATGCAAGGGTAATTGAAATTTTAGCAAAAATTCAAAGAGAGGGTGTGACCCTAAATAATAATAATAAAAATTCGTATAATGGTGAAATTTTCTTATAATTATTTGAAAAATAAATATCTAATACTATCTAGGTCAGAAAGGTTATGAAAAACTTACCATTAGGGTCCTTTATCCTTAACTGTTCTTAATTTAACAAGCAAAACTTTTTGGCGTTTTGTGTACAATTGCATTATATTAGAACAATAGTTTCCTAAACTTTAGAACGCCTTTAAAAAATATATTTTGTTTTGTGTGCAAAACAATTTTATTATTTTTTTCTGACAAGAAAGAACAAATGGGTAAAATGTTTGGTTGTGCCGTTATATATCTAGATGACATACTTATTTCGTTTTATCCCAGCATGTAAATTAAGAAACTGTTTAAAATCTTAATGCCGCCTGTAGGGCATTTTTATCTTGAGATGTTTTTGACAACCTCTCAGTAAAACGCTTGTATTTTATTTGATTTCTTATCTGTTGAAGACATGTTCAGTAATTGATTACACCGTTGATTTAAAATATTTGTAATATATGACGTTACAAAAAAAAATACCACAAAGACTATGCATATTTCAGTTTCTATCTATTCTAGGAAGTAAAATTAAGGGTGGAAGCAGGATCGAAGTGCTGTTTAAAATCTTGTTAATTCAACATAATTCTTTTATCGTTCTTTGTTTGATCTTAATGGTTTCAGTTGGACAATATAACTGTCCATATGGCGCATTTGCAAACAGCTTAAGTACGGTTCAACCAAACAATACATGTTCTTGCTAAAAAAAAATTTCATTTGCTATTTCAAAGATGTTCGATCCTTTCATTCCATAGCAGGTCATTGTCGTTGTAATTGAGTTACTTTCGATTCCTCTTTTATCTATTGGGTGGTTCCAGCAATCCTTACAGGTAAACTATTATAATATTTTAAATAAAATTACATATATTTAGATTATTGCTCTTGTCACACGCAGTTGTTTACTCGGGAACCGTACGCCGCTTTTCGTGGAATGACAGTTATGTGTCACATTGAAGAAACCTCCGTATGAACACATTTGCGGATGTTTCTAAATTCATAATTTTATCATTAAATGATAAATGCTAATTTCTGCTTGAGATATAGACGTGAGCTTATATGAACATTTTTAATTTTTCCGGATTTGGTCGTTTTAATTGGGATCCATTTTATATTTTAGGCTGTCTGCACTGTCCATTTTCCAACATATTTTCTTGTTTCTTTAAGAGGACTAACCTGTTCGACACATGTATGTGGAATGGTCGATCAACCTTATTGCCTGATAACATTAAGTAATCTGTAATCTTGTAAAATATATATAGTACACCTGTTGAATGCATTTTAAATTTGCTAATTCTTTAAAACGGGTATTATCACATGTAATTATATTAAAACGGATCAAAACGGCTCACTCGAGATAACGAGTAATACGGTACTTTCAACCTGAGTACTGTTTATTATACATGTTATAAGTACGGGATATATCCCGTTTTAAATTTATTCTTTAAATGCTGTTATTCTAAACAAACATGGCCTCTAACAATTCAAAATGTCAATTGATTTTATCAGATTTTCAAGACCCCAATCGATCTGTTCTCAATACGTATAATTTACAAGCTATCGAAATCACTTTTTATTGTAACTTATAAACATTTAACGCTGCATTGTGTCCAGATAAGCCAAACTATTACAAGAAAAAAAAACTTGAGAACGATTTACTTCAGTTTAAGAAATTGATTCAATATTCAAACATCAATATATATGTTATGTGCTATTTTCGACTTATTTTGTAGTATTTATCACTATATTTCTACAAAGACAGTACAAGCTATTTTGCACATTTTGACCCCTCTTGGTGATTTATGTGGATTTTTAGTGCTGTTTGCAATGCATAAATTATTTTGTTTTGCTGCTTCACAATATCTAACGTTCATATACATTTTAAAATTTGCATGAACATTAGAATAAAGAGACATGCTACTTTAAATAGTTACATAGTTCGTTTTTCTAAAATCCTAAGTTAAAACATGTCTATAATTTTTAAATGAAAGCTCCCATATTTTTTTTTAATTTTTAAATAAATCATTTGTTTTTGCAATTAGACTTCTAAATTTCCTTAATGAACTTTTACCATCACAATATGTACATTATTTTCTGAGAGTAAATTGCAAATATGAAGGTTACTGAAAAGCGAAGTATTGACTGTAAAAGTGTCGGCAGTTTTTTATCTCCACATATTGCATTGGTATATTTTTTTACTGCTATCAAGCTAAGTATTATATTATTACAAATTTAAACATAAATGCTACAATAAAGCTGTTGTTTAAAGCAAAATTATAATGTAAGTTCTAATAATAAAATATAAAATAGTTATTATTCTTACTTCTGCTTTCTCTGAGGCCATTCTCCCCTTTCTTCAGGTTGGAGTTTGTTGTCAGGAACGTATTTGTATTTCTTCCATAGAGACTTATCATGCCGCTTACTCCATACCAGCAAGCGAATATAAGAGATCGGAATGAAAAACAGATAAGTTTATTTGTTTAAAATATGATGATATATGTAAGTTAGAGGCGCAATGTCGCACAATGCATACTCTTGATCGTAATAAAACTGAAGTGTACACCCTAAATCAACGCATGCACTTTATGTTTATAAATCAATGCGTATGGCACATATTAAAAAATCTTATCAATTCATTTTCAAATTAACGTCAATTTGAGTAAGTAATTTCAAGAGTTTTATGAAGAGGTAATTTTTTATGCATAAAGCGAAATGTTTCGATGCTTATAATTATTATGATGCAAATGACTCCATGAACATTTACAGTATAAAATTCGTATCGCTTGATACCTAACGTACTAAATAAACGACAGATGAAAAAGTACTTAAATAATTATCATAGTTTCACACCCAACTCCTTTAAATGTAATTGTTTTTGGTTGTTGTTTTTATCTTTTTTATTTTATATTTTTGTATTTCTTTATTTATGTTTGGTTTCTTGTTTGGTTTATTACATATTTTTTATTTCTTTATTTTTTTTTTGTTTCTTGTTTGGTTTTACGGCACACCAACAGTTAAGATTATATAGGCTGACCTCAGGTGTTAAAATCGTAAACCAACATTAGGGTCCAAAACCACCTCACCTGCTGGTATTCCGATCGGTGAGTACCCTCGGGACGGATATTCCTATCCAAAACACATAAATGAAGGATATTTCCCTTGAATAGTCTAAATGAATTACTAAATTTTAGTAACTAAATTTTCAATGGTATGTTATTTATGCCATTTCTTCCATAAGAATTTTCTTACAATAGCTTATAAATTATCAACTATCTTCATATCAGCGAAATGCCGTGATTAAAGAACGCAGTTTCATTCTGAATTACTCCAAAACGAAGTCACCTTAGATCTCGAGCCTCATCTGATACCCTCGTGCCAGACACTGTCTCCAGCACGGGTAAAACTAACGAAAATAAAAGTATGTTATGCAAGAAAATAAAGATGCTGCGGTTCGGACCGGAATATCCGTTATCCGAAGGTAACCGCCCCTGGAGCGGTAACGAGCCTTGCCAAATGTACGTATGCATGAATAAATGAAGAAAATGCTTAATTAGTCATCAACTTATATTAAGCTGAAATTAGGAACAACACACTTCAAACTATCGTTTAAAGCATAATATTTCTCTAATACGGTCGTTCAATAAAGATTGATAACACACTGTATATATTTACAATGTGGAGTAGCAACATGCATTTTTCAAAATGTGCTATCCACGAGCGCAATAGATTATCAGTTTTTGTGCATACAAATAATATTCTTTCTTATTTTAAGGCACATTTAGCCCAGTATATCTATATCGTTTTTACATTATCTATAAAAATGTCAAACAAGTATTTTGATAATGGGTTTAGAGCATGTTAGGTGTCAAATAATTAAAGAAGGTAACTCAAAAAACGCGTCGTAAAGGTAGCGAAATGTAAAACAAAGTAAACATAGTATGTTTGTTGACTTACATACAAATAACTAGAACTAAGTATACTATAAAAGTAAAAATAAAACGTTTTTGAGGACTGACAAAAACATAATGGGTCTGCTCTAAAGTAATATATATAGATGATAATTTTATTTCAAAATTGCAGAAAAATGCATACGTTGAAGTAACTTACTAAATAACAATCTGGAAAAAAATAAAAACGAAAAAGTTTGAAAGCAAAATCTCACTTGTTTATCGTCTAACTTCATGTTGTTTAATTCAATTGTATAAAACGTTTTGTCTAGAGAATAAAGAAAAACATTCTATTCTTTGAATTGTTAAATGGTAATTTTATAAATCTGTGATTGAATTAACAATAATTATAATCTACAAGATTATACTATTTTTGTAATTGTCCCACCATTGAGTGTGTTGTTCTTTTGGAGAAAAAAAAAATATTATCAATTATTATTGTCGTCTTCAACTTGTTTAAGTCATATCCCCGATAACGAAAGCTATCGAACTATATAAAACATACCTCACAACTAAAGAGTTATTGCGTAAACCTGTATAACCCTTATCGTAAATCAAGATAATATCAAGACTAGCTTTTTTATGATCTTATTCAGCGATATATCAACATGTATGTGGGAGTGAAACAATGTAAGGGCACGGTTGGTAAAACGTTAAAACAGATTTAAATGTCTCAAAACAAATCTTTTGTCAGGCATTTGAAATATTGTTGCATATTTAAGACTGTGGTTGAACTGGTTTGTATAAATACAAACATTTTACTCCAGACTTTAACGACGTCTGTAAAAATCTTATTTCTTTATCAGTTACTACAATATTAAGTCATAATACTAGATAAGGTTGAAACCCAGGTACGAGTTTTGGCCTAATCAATGAGTTGTTGTGGTATTGACCGTTTTGTACAACTTAACAATTTTATGTTATGCTCACATAAACAAAAATTATATAATGTATCGTTTATCATCAATTCAACCATAACAAAGAAAAAGTTAAAGATTCTTGATTTAACCATTTTGATGATGTTATAACTCGTCCCAGAAGACTTACAAAAGTATGTTACAGAATCAACTAAACTGAGTTTGTATAAATAATATGATTACATTTAACCTTACATATTTATAATATTTAGCTACCATATACTTAAGTTGAAACATAACTATATAATTATTGCATAAATTTTACAAATTTAATAATAGAAAGAACATGAACCTCAAAGTCATTTAACTTGTAAGAGGAGAGTGTAAACTATTGGTATTGTAGTCTTAACTTAAACAAAAATACATAAATGTTTGTTGTTCCCTATATAAAGTAAGTGAGGCCTGTGACAGTTGGCGGTGGCAATTATAACCCTAGGGAATCACTTACACAACTTTTGTACAGGGTCATGAGGTGCTGGTTCATGACAAACATTTAATATATTCTTGGCAAATTTCGAAGTTTTAAGACATGTTAACTATACTTTGTCATACACTTATTGACTGATGTTTGTATTTTCTTTAGGGTTTTACGTCACACGGACACAGTATAGGTCATATGGCGACGTTCCAGCTTTACTGGTGGAGGAAAACTGAGGTGCCCTTACGTGCATTATTTCGTGCACGAACGGGCACCTGAGTAGAACCACCGACGTTCCGTAAGCTAGCTGAATAGCAGCTTCCTCACATGAAAGAATCCAAAGTCCCTGTCGGGACTCGAACCCACAGCGGTGAGGGGCAAGTGGTTTGAATTCAAAGACATTTACCACTTGGACACTGACGCCCCTGAGACCAAAGGATGACCAAGCAAATAATGCAAAAAAATGTTATTTGCCTTTTCCTTAATATTAATCCGCAGAGACGTTCTTGCTCGGCATTGACTTCATGTTAATGCAAATTTACAGATACTTTTTGGGCAACTATAAACATCTCAAGCCGCAATTACAAAACAAATTCAATTTGTACGGCAAAACGATAACCTCCCGGTACCTGTGCATAAATCGTTGGACGATACTCGTTCGTTAACTGGTGTTTATTCGAGCGCCGGGCGTGGCTCGGGCGATGTCCGGGCGGTCACTTGACGATATCTGCCCGGGTGCCTTTAAGATCGGACGGCATTTTTCTGTATCAAAAACAATAGTCCGATCCGAAATCATCGCCCAGGCGCCGCCTGGCGATCTGACGATCCCCACCAGATGACATTTTTACAAGTCAATAACCCTAACATTTATCGTCCGAACGCCGTTAGCTTTTAAGTAGTACTTAAAACTCGACGGCACGCGCCGATTAGCAAAATTTTCAATTGCTGTCGTCCGATTGTCACAATGGCCGGGCGAACATAGGCCGATATTACGATATTTTTGAGGAGTAGAAGCCACCAGGCTGTCGTTTGTTGTTTGTGACTTAGGCATGAATTTATCCAAAGAAATATTGACTAGGCCATCTTTTACGAATTGTTGTATCAAAAAATTATCATTTTGACTTTTTCGTAGGTTCTTTCCGGTATTTAGCTCTGATGACACTTTTACAGTGATTTTAATTCAACTCTCTCGATTTTTTTCTCTGTAAGAAGTTGATTCTATTTTTGTTTGAATGTATTCGGTTTTTTGGTTGTTTAAGTGGAATGTTGATTTGCCGAATATTTTGACATTTTAACAACAGATTTTTTTTTCTGCAGTTTGAACATGATTTGGTATGGATTTTTAGGAATATAAACACAGAGGGTTTTGAAGCAATTTAACCAAACAGAAGACTGATTTCCCAATAAATCAATTAACAATAGCTCTTTTTATATCACCAATGTCAAGTAACTTATATATCTTTGACTCGCACGATGTTAGCGAATTTTCTCATACCATTACATTGATAAATAATGTATCACCATATACCGTGTATAGCAAACAAAACTTCCTGAATTTGGTCTTTTTGAAATTCATTCCAATTTTTTCTTTCATTCTAGCTTGTGTTCTAATTTCAGTATTTATCTGAGACTTGAAATCTTAAATCCCAGGTGTTAAAAGAAACATATCTTTTTTTAAATTTGACATAAAAAATGCACGTAATATTAGTACTACATTAGTCCCTTTTGTTATTAATTGTATATTTGTTACAATTACAGTTATAAAACAACTCTGTTCCATTTGACTACTGTTTTGTATGTTCCAAAGAAAATACATTTAATATTCTAATCTCTAGCAAACTTACCAAAGTGCATGATGAAAAAAAGTCTTTTGTCCTATTAATTTATAATATACAATTCTGGTAAAATACCATTAACCACTGAAAACTTCATAGGAATATCTAGTCATCAGATGTCTACTAGTTCATCGTCGTTTGCTGGATTTCTTGCTTGGCTTTGCATCAATGCCTTTCTTGTTATATCACGATATACCATTTGCCGCGAACCATTCTAAGGACATTTTGAAAGGTAAAATCTATGAAAGGTTTTCTTTTGGCCTATTTACATATGGATTTTTATATTTCTTACCATGATTAGTTATTGTTATTTGTAGAAAGTGAGTAGGATTATAGGTGAAAAAGAAAATGTACATGCTTTGATATTTTTATCACATTATAGTACTGACTATAGTAGTGACACAAACAGAACACTGTTGCACTACTGTCGTTTCACATTACATTTACAATTATTGTAAGTCTTGTTTGTATTCAATGGAATTACTTTCCTTACCAGATAGGCATCAGTGAAAGCATTTTTTTTTAAATTTAATATCTGATCCCTCTCTAATGTACATTGCATACGATAAGTATTATTATATAACAAACATTCGGATTAAGTACAATAGAACTTAATCTAAATAGAACATGGCCCGTGCGTAAAAATGATTTGGTTAGGTATCAGTAATGAGCGCATTTCAATTGCTGCATTGCAGCAACTTTTGTCCTATTGAAGTAGTGAAAGTACTGTTTTTTAAAGCTAACTCGATGGAATAAAATTTCATCTTACACACAAACATACAAATATTCTCTATTTTTTCAATAGACAATTCCAAAGAGGAAGTACCTTTCATCTCATCCAGTAGTATACTGTTTATATATGAAGAAAAACAATCCATACTGCGAGATATCTATGCTTACTTGCCCAGATGCAACTCGTATTTTTATTGTAATATTTATTTTCTGTTTTATGCAACACAAAATACAAATCTGAACTAGATATAATAAAAATAAACGAATACTATTTGTACTTTATGTTTTTTTTTTTACTTCTTACGTGTCTCAACATTTTGTCTTACACAGCTTTTCAACAGTAGTTCGCGTATATAGCGTCGGTGAAAAGGTTAAGGTTACTAAAGGAAGTACAACATAATGTTTTAAGTATAGTTTAGTATTATCCGAGTGTATGGCTTCAAAGAATATATTATCAATTGAACCCAATATTGATCAAATTGTACGGTATTAAAAAGATAAGGAGTGACATGAGTTTTTCCCCTTTGACTACGCATATAGAATTTTGTTCCCGTTATCATTGTCAACTATCTGATATCCTCCGGATATGACTTTTACTATATATACTGTATTTTTTACTGAATTTTAAAGTAGCTGATTATATAAAATTGAGGTTATATTTTCACAAACCACCCACTCGGATTATATGAAAAGATATTCAAAGGTCGGACAAACAATTTGTATAGCCGGTACGTATTCAGATTTATGCATCGCGATATGCGGTCCTGTTCCCAAGTTCCTATGGATGTTTACTGTAAAAATCAATCATTAATCACAAATAGCAATATAACTTGAATCGTTCTTACAATTACTAAATTCTTAGTACATTTTGCTCAAGTTAAATTTATTGAAATATATTGGCAAATCCAGAGGCTGCAGCTTTAAGATAAAAATTGAGAGAATCATTCAAATTTGAATGCTAAAAATAAAATTAAAGTAAACTGAACATATTTAGACATAGCTCATAGATTAGGAAACTACCACAATAATGGCAATAGGGTTATCAATTGGAAATCTGTACAATAATCATTGCTGAATTAGATATGCTGATGCCTCCAAGAGCTTCGAATGGCTCATTTACTTCTTAGCTTCTTGAATCGGTCTCAGATCATATTGAAGTTGAACGGCCTGAAGTGATGGAGACAGAAGTGTGGATTTGTTAAAGAACAAGAGGAAGTTTACAGAGAGGCACCACAGCGAATTTGATGCAGTGTCAATAACAATAACAATTTAGTAGTAAACAATAATTTTTTAATCAGAAGTAAATGATATCAATCTATTTTAGTTCGATTGTGTTAGAAGCTATAAGCTTATTGAAACACTCTCAAATGCGCGCGGCCGTTCCTTGAATACAACCTTTAATTTTTAAGCAAAGTGTGTAGAGATTCTTGCTCAGGAAACAACGGCTTGCCCCTGACAGGGTTTGAACCTAGTCGTCATGCAATCCACAGATAACCCAGCGTAACCGCTTGTCAATGAATTTTAAAACAAATGAAATTACGTTAAAATATCAGAAAATAATACATTTAAGACACATATGCTTGCTTCATTGTGCATTTTCGAGTGTTCTTCTTCATTTATTTGTGTACCGTCTTAATCAAAGATTGCTGCGTAATTATTCAACAAGAAATAATTCAATAACATGAGTTCCGGAAACATTTAGCATAAGTCTCACGAAGATTTATAACAACACAAAAGCATTTTAGATTCCGTTAGTATAATAATATTTACATTCATTTTTTCAGGGCTTTGGTGGAAGGTCCCAGCTTATGTTACTGTAATTTGATGAGAAATACAAAACTGTGAAAGTTATTATACATATATCGAGGTAATATTTTATTATTTTATATTTTTCCCATGCTTTATCACTTATCAGAAGTTATATATGTACCTACAACCTTAAGATATCTATTGGCAGCACACATATTCAGGGAATAGTAATATACTTGGGGTTGTACGTTTTATTAATAATAAATTTTGAATGCTGGGTGATTAGTATTGAAAAAGACCAATAAGGAAATGTGTTAACTATACTGTTTGCGACAAAAATATAACTCCTATAAATATCCATGGTCCAAATATAGGCATCTCAGATTTTTTATGATTCTGGCTAAGACAAAAGTCTGAGTTTAAAGATCTGTGATCATTTTTGTCAGAGACTTTCGGTAAGTTTTCAACCCAGATGCTCCTTCCTTTAACTCTTTGTATTTTAGTAATCCTTATGCACGTGAGGTCTGTTCTTTAGTGTCACAGTAAAACGCATTTGACAGTTAGAGGGAAAACAATATTGAAAATGGAGAACATACTTCGTTTCCACAAAATCCTATTTTATAATTGTACATCTAGATGTTCTCTTGGGTTCAAATAGTCCCAACTCATCAGATATCCTGTAAGAGAGGTCCTATATGTCTTGTTGTCCGGCACATTGTCTCCAGCGCCGATCGACAACAACGATTTACACACATGTAAATATAAATAACGCGTGTTTTTGTTGTATTTTTGTTGTTGTTGATGTTGCTGTTGTTTTGTTTTTTTTGTTTTTTGACAGGATCAGCCAGGCTAGAGTGCTCTTAATCATTTTCACTGTCCTTGTAAATGCGGATCATTGTTTTTATTACATACAGTGGACATCATAATGCTTGTCAGGGACTATAAGAATTAGAGGTAATATGCGAACTGTTCTTTAACGCAAAAGACATATTGCAATTGATAAATCCCTACTCTGACATTTTATTTGAATAATAGATTTAACCACAAATATTGACATATTTTCTCTTGATAGCAAATGGCTGTGGTGAAATCTTATTAAAATCCACCAATCTCATTATTTGTATTATACAGATTAGAGTCATATACGAGTAGGAATCTATTCACTGAATTTGTCCTGCCGTATTAAAACCATGTACAGAATATATTATTATGTTTGGTACTAATTTATCCAATAACTTACAAAATAGCAATTTGAAAAGATGATGGCGCGATATGTTCTGAAATATTACAAACCTGTGATATTGCTGTAATCTTTTAAATAAAGTACAGTTTATGGCTGGAGTTATGGCCTTCTTGTTTTCCCATTTTCACATCTTTATTCCCGTAAATTTCGAGTATGGCCATAAGGGCATCGACTTACCGTCTTCCCTGTAGGATGCTACGTTTCATGCAATTGTCGTATTGTTCTATGGTATGCCAGAGAATGTTGATTTTCTGCATCATCTTTAACATTGCTAACACCGTTCTTTTAACTCACTGAACGACTGAAAAAATCTCCAATATGTTAAAAAGAACTAAGGTCACGGGAAACAGGTGGTCAATACAAGACGTTACCACTAATTGCAATTATGTGCATTCAATTTTTTAATTCATAATGCGTGTCTACAACTTTATCGAGGGGATAATTAAACAATTTGTTGTTTTTTTTCATTTTGATGCTTACAGCGTAAAACATCCGTACATGCAAATCATATTTTGAAACAAGTTATTTAATTTTTTATGTAATTTAGTGACCTAAATTCTTGTACAAGATATCATATTAAGTCTTTTATCAAAGAAAATATATAACATTTTAAAACGAGTATTTATTTTTTATGTAATTTTCTGATTTAAAAGTTTCCAAAGGATCACTTTTTTCCAGATATTTACATTTACATTTAAGTACCGCCCAAGACAGTGCTAGGGGACGTGACGGGTGTTACATTTTTTCATTATCCTTCATGTACAATCAAGTTAACAACGATTATTATGGCATGCTTTATTTTGACACATTGGTCTATTTGCTATACTATTAGGAGCTAACGGAATCTTTAAAGGAAAGGTTAAACGCAGGAGACGAAAGGATCTACAACTATTACCCAACAAGATAAGTGATTTCCATATCATGCATTTTACACTATGTGAGTAGTCTGGTAGTACTAGATGGAGCTTAATTGTATTTTTAATTAAAGATTTTAGAGATGTTATTTGAACATAATGAAAAATAAACTAGAATGTTTCAATGGATTTTTTTATTAGCATTTAGTAAAATATTACTGTCATTGTTTGCACTGTTCTCCTCCATACCTAGGAGTTGGACAAGAACATGTTGATCGCATCATAGCGAAAGAGTTTGATAAACTGTATTCACCCCTATAATTGCGTGTGCATATCGTAGTATAACCTTGTTTTGTACACCAACTGCCATGTACTACAAAAATAGAACAAATCACCAACGTTTACTTTTAATAAATAAACAATTCAAAATAAGTAAATACAGATATCTAGCTACATGTTTTGCCTCCATTCGACGGGGAAGGACACCCGCAAGTTGTTCGTTCATAGCCATAGCCATTATTTCTGTACTGTCGGTAGTAACTCGAGTATGAGCATTCAATTACTTGCCTCCAGCACCATTCCCCGTCGACTGGAATAAGTGAACATTGAAATAAATTACTTAAGGGGCATTGAAAAGTTCCTGATTAACTGTGCTATCCCATCAAGCAACAGTGGCGGGTATTTGAAAAAAGGGATGTACGTCCGTCGGTTTCGAGTCCGAACGATTTTCTAAGAACTGGTTGGTCAAGTTATAATGCATCATGCCAATAAAGTAAATGAACAGGGAAACGAAGCTGATTAAATGTCTGGGATTTTGTATGAACTTATGCTAGTTTAAATGCATTGTGTCATTTTAAAAGGAAATGGTCTCGTCTCAGTATGAATATCATTGTCAGCAAATTTTATGATGCTCATGAAATGCTATTGAAATCTATATTGCATAATGTTAACTTCTGGTTCTTAATCTCACACAACTTCAACAGGTTAAGCGATATTTTACATAAAGTTATTATAAACATATCGGACAGATTTTAGGAAATACGCCATTAAGTGGCTTTGCTGATATATTAAAGATGCATAGAAGTAAAAAGGCAATGTATTTTTGTAATTTTAAGTATCAAAATGTGTAAATGATAACAATTTAACAAAACTGATGTTTGAATGAAATGTTCAAAACAGATGTGTGTTAAGTATATAAACTAAATAAGATAAGACTTAAGTGTAATCCAGTAAATGTTTTTGTTCCCCTTATTTGATGTGCCATCAAAATATTTGCTGTTAGATAAAGTCTTTTATAAATAACCTTTTTGTGAGGAAAAGCAGAAACAAACCTATATTTAATCAAAGTGCTCGTAAGAAACATTCCATTCGTCAATTATAGTTATGTACTGAATGGTATAAAATCAATGTTTGAATAAAATGTTCTAAACTGAAATATTTAATGTATATAAACCTGGACAAGGTTGCGACGAACATTCCTCAATTTCCAAAGTATCACCAGTGCAATTCATGCCACCAAACTGAGGTCCAGGGTCAGTGCATTCCCTTTGCCGGGTACGTGTTCCATTTTCGCAAGTAACAGAGCAATTACCCCAGACGCTCCAGTCTGACCACTGACCGTCAACTACAAAAGATAAGACCAGAGATAACAGTACCGAAAAGAAATCAGCTTGTTTTTCTAAAAGGGAATAACATCGACAATATGTTAAATGTACAAATTTTCAACTTGTTAATAATTTAACTTGCCAAGAATCTTCTTTGTGTTCTTTTAAATATCTTAATTTCCCCATATTGTGTATTGCCTTTATTTTCAAATTCAAATATGTTGGTTCCTGCATAATTATATAAGATGTCGAAATCTTTAGACAAATACAATGAAAGTACAGTAACCTATTGTTCTTTTTGTGTTGGTATTTCTTACTTTCTATAAGTTCTATGTACAAATGCATTTGGCTTTTTTGATGGGCTTTTCCAGTATTCCTTACTTGAATGTTTCATGACCACCTTTAAGATATATGTAACCTGCCTAATTTTTATATGCATGTATCTTATGTATATTGGCATCAAAATCTATGGAGCCTGTTCAAATTCCTTTTATTTAATTCCGCTCATTGTTTTCCCATTGAGGGCACAAGCATTCTTTTAATTGCTGACCGTACGCCACTTATCATGGAATGGCAGACACGTGTTTCATTGATGGTTTCCATGATGACTCGCGGATGTTTCTTACTTCAAAATGTTACCTTAACCATGTTTTAATTTTGAATTCGGTTATTCAGACTTTCCAGTTCCGTCGATCGACCCGACACTGCAACATTTTCAATTTTGTTGTTTTGAACTTCCTTTAGAGATTCTTGTTTTTCTCTTATTTAGATATTTGGCATGCTTTATGACTAAATTGACATCTGCAAAAATTTCTTCTCTTAAATTATTATGTCCAATATATTTTGGGAGTAATCTGGAGACAGACAGGCGGACAACAAGACATACACTATTAGTGGTGCCCACTTTTAAGCATGCATCAGCTAGTAGTAGCAGGCAACACAGAAATTATTAACGGAAGAAAACGCCTTTATATTTAAGGACTGTAACTAAGCAAAAATTAAGTCAACCGACAAACCCGTGTAATATGCACAAGCACTTGAGGTACCGATCAATCCTGTAATGTTTCAAACAAATCAAATTAACGATATAAGAAAAGTTGTCCGGATAAACTTTAATAAATTCTTTTATTTCATGCTATCCAGTGTTTTATTGTAATATATCAGATGATTATATTCTGATAAACCACTAGTGAAATTTATAAAATATAATTTTCACTGTAGCCGGACTATATCTTAATGCGGATGAAAAAAAAATCATAACTAAATGGAATAACAGGCAGAAATAAATGCCGTCATACGTAAATGTTGCTTCTTTAGGAAAAGAAAGTCGATGTCACCATAAATCATATTAAAAGTGTAACAAAATAAGAGAAATTTAACAGAACTATATTTCAAAATTGATGATGTGACGTCATGATGTGATGACGTCACAAAGGAGAATGCGCGACGTTACACGGCAAAATCAGTAAAAAATACTTAAAATCACTTAAAAAGCATTAAATAAAAAGAAAATTAATTTGTTTTACATATAAGATTGAAATATATTTCATTCGTGAACACCAGCTATTATATTTTCACTCGTGGCTACGCCACTCGTGAAAATATTGCATCTGGTGTTCACTCAGTGAAATTATATTTCAATCTTACATGCAAAACAAACAAATATCCTCTATATAATACTTAAAGGGCCATGACTCGGACATAAATCCTTGAACTTGAAAATGCCGACTATATGTGGACTAGAAGGACAGAAGGACGCTGTAACAAACAGTACCTTTGGCTCTCTACTGTTGCCCTTTATAAAGGAACAAAAACACATCAAAACATACATACACAATCAATGACATCAAAGAAAAAGTACATTACCTACTGTTCTATTAGCAACATACGTTACCAATGTAAACATACGGACATACAGACTACAGAGACGTGATCCAAATATGGCACCGCTACACTGTAGCAGGCGACACAACAAACAATACGCAATAAACCTAATGTCTTTTACTGGTTTTTCCCTTTTCTAGCATGAATCTCTCATGGACCTCCCATTCCACCCATATCTTAAAATACCTCTAGCTATTCCATAGACTAGCTTAACAAATTTCAATATTCCTATTTTAAAAAATCTTATACATGTTTCTTTTTTTTCTATATTTAATTTAATCTTCATTTAAGCTTGCCAAATATCTAGTTTAACTAGTTCAGTGTGCTAGATGACACTGACCATGTTAAAACTTCCACAATTGTTTTACCAGATTGCCTATACCTTTCATATAGTTGACAAAGTCAGAGATTTTTTGGAATTAACTCATATTTTAGATGAACTATACCTGCACATGGTTCAATGCTACAGTTCTTAGTATCATTTCTCGCTCCAACACACGTCTCGTTCTTCGATGCATCAAGCTGATGCACGCATATTCTGTTTCTTACAGATGTTCCCCTGTCACATGACACGGAACATTGAGACCATTCTCCCCACTTTGTCCAGCCAAAGTGACCTATAATAATATCAAATAACTTATTAAATGATGTGTCATTCGTGCATACGCTATAATCATTGGAATGGCATTGATCATTGAATTGGATTTAATGTTCTTTATCAATTTTTAATTTCAAGGTTTGTTTATTATGCCCCCCCCCCCTTCGAAGAAAGTGTGGTCAATTGTTTTGCTAATGTCGGTCGGCCTGTCGGTCTGTCCGTCTGTAGACCGCATGGTTTCTGGTGATTATTTTGAAAACTATATATTACAAAGTCTTCATATTTCCCATACCAAAACTAGTAGATAAAACATATTAAATTTAGGGTCACTAGGTCCAACGTCAAGGTCATAGTGGCTTTAAATGTCAGAATTGTTTCCGCTGATTGTCTTGAAAACTGTTCATCCCAAAGTCTTTATTTTTTACATACTGATTGGTCTTAATTAGTAGATAAAATTGTTTTTTATCTGGATCACTACATCACAGGTCTAGGTCACAGGGGTCTTAAAAGTCAGAATGGTTCCGCTGACTATCTTGAATACTATTCATTACAACGTCGTCATATTTCATATACTGATTGGACATCAGTAGAAGATAAAGTAGAACAAGTAGATAAACCCTATTGATTTAATTTCTGGTCACTGGGTCAAAGTCTTGAAAACTATTCATCACAAACTCTTTAAATTTCAAATACTGATTAGGCATAACTAGTTAACAACCTCCATAGATTTCCAGGTCACTAGGTCAAATGTCAAGGTCACAGTGGCCTTAAATGTAAGAATGGTTTCCGCTGATTATCTTGAAAACTATTCATTACAACGTCATCATATTACTTATACTGATTGGACATAAGTAGAAGATAATCATTATTGAATTAATTCTGGTCACTGGGTCAAAGATCAAAGTCACAAAGGCCTTAAATGTCAGAATGGTTTCCGCTGATTGTCTTGAAAACTATTTATCACAAAGTCTTCGAATTACACTTATTGATTTGGCATAACTAGTAAATGAACTCCATAGATTTTAGGGTCACTAGATCAAAGGTCAAGTGGCCTTGAATGTAAGAATGGTTTCCACTGACTTTTTTTAAAAAACATTCATAACAACGTCATTATACTACTAATTGGTCATAACTAGTAGATGAGAACCTATTGATTGTTGGGTCAATACATCAAAGGTCATGGTCACAGGGGTCTAAAAAGTCAGAATGGTTTCCGCTGATTATCTGGAATACTATTCATTACAACGTCTTCATATTTCACATACTGATTGGACATAAGTAGTAGATAAACGCTATTGGTTTAATTTTTGGTCACTTGGTCAAATATCAAATTCACAAGGACCTTAAATGTCAGAATGGTTTCCGTTGATTGTCTTGAAAACTATTCATCACAAAGTCTTCAAATTTCACATACTGATTAGGCATAAGTAGTAAATGACCTTTCTAGATTTCCAGCTTAAATGTTAAATGTAAGAATGGTTTCCGCTGATTGTCTTGAAACTATTCATAATATAACCTTTATATTTACATACTTATTGGTCTGGAACCTATTGATTTTTGGATCATTTCATCAAAGTTCAAGGTCACAGGGGTTTTAACAGTCAGAATGGTTTCCGCTGATTATCTTGAACCCTATTCATAACAACGTCATCATATTTCACATACTGATTGGACATTAGTAGTAGATAATCCCTATTGATTTCCTGGTCACTGGGTCAAAGATCAAGGTCACAAGTGGCCTTGAATGTAAGAATGGTTTCCACTGATTTTCTTAAAAACCATTCATCACAACGTCATTATATTTCACATACTAATTGGTCATAATAAGTAAATGGGAACCTATTGATTTTTGGGTCACTACATCAAAGGTCAATGTCACAGGGATCTAAAAAGTCAGAATGGTTTCCGCTGATTATCTTAAAAACTTTTCATTACAACGTCTTCATATTTCACATACTGATTTGAAAACAGTAGAAAATAACACCTATTGGTTTTCGGGTCACTGGGTCAAAGATCAAGGTCACAGGGGCTTATATTTAAGAATGGTTTCCACCGATTATCTTGAAAACTATTCATCACAATGTCTTCATATTTCACATACTAATTGGTCTTAATAGGTTGATGACCCCTAGTGATTTTCGGGTCACTAGGTCAAAGGTCAGTCTAACAGGGGCTTTAAATGTCAGAATGGTTGCATTTATGTGATAATGTATATTTTGTTCCAGCTACCCTCAAACTTGTATAACTTATTAATGATATTTTACATTCAGTTTCACGTCATATATTGGTCATTATTTTTTTGAATGTTTTCAAAGGATTCTGATCTTTTTTTATTCCGTTACGTTAATAGTACCAGATTATAAAAGAGGTGAAACAATTGGTCTGAAGAAAGGGTGTTTCATCAAGAGAACTATTGTGATCCTATATCGTGACCAGAATGTCATTGCCTTTATGCAAACAAATGTGTAACTACACAGTAAAGCTCCAGATATTTTATTTCTTAGCCTGGTGCTTGTTAGGAGAAGTATTTAAAAATGTTTGCTTAAATGTGTTTAATATGTTAAATAAATTGAAACTTAGGGTGAGTTTATTGCAGTTATGGAGAAGACAAAGCTTTCTCTTTAGGACGTGTTGACAGTTTGTCCTCGTTCTTAGAAGTGTACGGGGCCAGTTGATTCTGACTCTAGGATAATTACTTGAATACGCATAGAAGCGATTTTCTATACAATGCTTCACACGCTGGAGTGAAATAGAATATCTACAGAAAGCCCAAAACGACAAACCTTAAAATGTTGCAAGCCTGCTTCGACAGAGCCTGTTCGTGAACGGTACTGGAAAGTATATTAAATAACCTTTCACGTCCACACCAACCACAAGCTTTAAAAATAAATATATAAGAATTACGCCTGGCAGTTTTAAAGAAGGGGTTTGTATGAGTCAATGTAAAAACAAATGAGCCACAGACAATATTTTAATAAACGTGTTTAGAGGTCCTAGAAACAATTTTAAACACCTGATATCTAAATATTGAATAAAGGAAAAACAGATTTTAAATGTAATTATATACGAGGATATGCAAATTTAAGTGATTCTAAGGTTCATGATTTGTCCAATTTTAAAAGTACCCATTTGTAATGCTACACATAACATGCCGAATAACTCGGCCTTGTTGTAATACCAAAGATTTTAAAATGCCATTATCTAAAATTATATGGACCATTAAATCCATAAAAATTGAGCCAATTTTATCCAAGGATTGTGATTTCAATGATTATGTAGCAGTTAACTAGGCAGTTTAACACGGCAATAATGTGTATTTAGTTCCTATGTGTTTAATAATTAGATTTTTAAACCTAACATATTTGCAATGAATTTAAGCTTCTGTAACCCTGACGTGCAACCGACCACTCGAACAACTTTTGTAGAACTTTATGAAAGGAACATATCAACTACGTTTTTTTTTGTTTTCTTTTTTTATTTATTTCTTTTTTTAGAGAATGTTTTAGAGCAGATGTCTTTGAAACATTTGTAGACGACAGATTGACGAATGACGGGACTAACAGCCATAATTGTATCCTCTTTAGTAATACTTTGACACCCATAACTTCGGCACACCGGGTTTTCTTTTCATTTTTAAATGTTCATTTCTTGTGTTACGGGCGGTATCTTGCTTTTTCCAGTATAGTCCATGCATAGGCTAAACAAAACTGAGCCTGCAACGTTATCAGTTTTGTTCCTATATCTTTTATTTTACTTTTTAGATCACGCTGTATTAAAATATATCACCTCTTATGTTTGTAATGTAGGAACTTTGGTTCATTTCAGTGCTGATAAGATGTTAATAAAACTTTGCTTATACTGAATAGCTAATTATGCAGTGTATAATTCATTTAATATTTATACTAGGATATGCAATGTGTTACTCATAACTATATAGAAATATTTGATAGAGAGTAACGTTGTAGTTTCTATATAACTCCTGACAATTATTTCTCAAACATTGCTGTAATATCGATAATGGCGAACAACGTTATGCTCTTTTATGGGTATAAGAAGTGACTCGACACAATTGGCATATTACTTATGTAGCTTCTATCTTTACTGATTAAATATGCAAAATCTAGATTTGTTTACATACCACACATTCCGCAAGATGCAGGACAGAGGTTATCCACATCAGCTATAGCTTTACATGCATCCGAATTAAGTGCACCAAATGCAGCACAGGCCGTTGGATTGTAATCAAAGCATGTCTTCACATTTCCAAGGAGACGCAAATCAAAGACGTGTCTATCTAAAACGGAAAAAATATCACATTATGCTTGACAATAACATGTCTGTTGGATATTTTATGCAGACCATTTGTGAAAAAATGGGGAAAAATAAAACATGGAGATCCCTTGAGTGTACTGCGGTGTATATTAAGTTTGGTCATGAGAGAATTAACGAGCACGATCTTAACACAATAACGTATTGGGAGATATCTGAAAAACATTTAAAGGAATGATATTAACGCAATAAAGCAATTATGACAAAAGGATTTTTGTGACCATTCACCTTTGTATTACTTTCACCATTTGCTACGGTTCTTTTATTTCGGACCGAGACCGAGTTCTGATTATATGTTCCAACTGAAGTCAGAGTCCATAAACAAATAAATTATGGTTTTATTGTATTTGATCTTTTTCATTTCTGCTACGGGTTTTGAACAATATATACCGTTTAAACATTTTCTAGTGAACATTCTGCAAAAATATGAAACTTATGAACCATCTACAAAACTGACTACCAATCTTTGCCTTTGACCTGGGTGGTTTAACTATAATTTGTTGGGCATCAATTATACAAATTGCCAATAGTTCATGTAAAATGTATCGAAAAAACACATTTTAGTGAGGCAATTAACATTCTGTTACACTACATAATATGTATAATTTGTTATTATTTGAACCAATATTACCTTCTGTTTTCGATTAAGCTTAATTTATGCCAATTAAATTGTTTATACAGATAGCTAGTATGAGATGTTTCCTTACCCGAAGGCTGTTGAATTCCACAAGCTTTTACGTTACAGTGATCCTTAGAACAGCACAGGGAACACGAACTATGTGTCACATCAGAGCGCTTCCCTACTAACGCCGATGATGGTGAGGATAGTTTTGGCGTAGCAGAACAATGCTTGAAATGTAAAAGGAAATTGGAAATACTAGGAAAGTTAAAGGAAAACAACATTTTTGTCTAGTACTTATTTGTTACGAACGTGGATTGTGGCTTAATCGCTTGTTCTTTTGCTTTTGGTCAATCAGACACTATTAAGGACAAATGACGACTTAACGTGTCACATTGAAGGTTCCATGATCACCGCCGTATGAACATCTGCGGATGTTTCTAGATTAAAAATTGTACTATTCTATTTCTCTCTCTATTTAAAGCTTTTAGTGAAGGAGACGCACATAGGGTACATCTGCGTGTATTGATCACTTTCGTCCTGGACATTTTCAGTTTTGCCTTGTTAGGTGATATAGAGCAATATTTCTGTCCTTACTATATAACAATAAGTTTGCTGTTTATTTATTTAACTTAAAACAAATAAACAATTATAAACAATATTAATTAATCAATTATAACCGTGAATATCAAATGTTGCTTTATTCATTGGTTGTTATTGTCTCTTTTGAAAATATATTTGGAAACCTAACTTCAATAAAAAATGTCTGTCTGTCATATGCGTAACAATAATGATAAATCGATAGATTAAATTTTTAATTACCTGTGAATTCATGCAACCAAGTCTGTATCGTGTGTTGCCATAGGTAACGATTTCTCGAATAAAACACATCTATAAAATTTAAACATACAAATGTAAAAAGATTTTTTTAACCCCGGAATAGCTGGGAAATTTCTAGATAGTCTTATTGTCGGAGAGACTTACTTGGGTCACTTCATGCCGATTCATTTTCAAACTTGCTTGCAAAAAGAATAATTTCTTTTAGCTTTGAATCATTTTGATAATGTATTCAGGGCTGGGAATCAAAACTGCGTCGTATCCTACAAAATGTAAACAAACGCCGCCATCTTGGAACGAAAAACGTATGTTTTTGTTTATAACTTTTTTGTTGGAAATGACTGAAAACCAGATGTATGTATTAACACGCTACACTATTTTCCGCTTCGTTCGATATATGTTGCTTGCACAACTATTTTGTAAAACAAAAGTTATAGCGAACTTGCATCTCGAAGCGGGGCAGAATTTTTATGAAAATGTGTGGATACGACGCAGTTCATATTGCTTTATCTATCGTTTTTTCCTTCAAATCAATTATATATTTGTTTCAGAGTTCACCATAAACTTCGAAATATAATTTTGCATCATTTACTGAAATTTCATTAAAAAGAGGTGTTTATTATCTTAGAAAATAATGATTTTTACGAAATGATACGACGCAGTTGAAAATAAAATATGATATGACGCAGTTGTATTTTTGGCAGTCTTTTCAATAGGGATAATTTTGGCAAAATATTTCTATTTTATGGAATAGTCACTTGCGCTAGATAAAAAAAACCCAGATCATTTGCGGTGTATAGCAATGTTCAGATGCTTTTGATTATTTAGAATACATTGTGTCATGTCCAATATATATAACATTTAATTTGAAAGTTTACATTGCGGAAGCTACTTTTCAGTTAAACATGAACATGTTACCTAATTGATCATAATATCTGAAATGATTTCTTATATTTTACTGTATGTTCAATATTATCCCTAATTGTTTTCGCAAAAAATATAGAAATCTATTAACTTGAATTCATGTTGGCTAGCTACGCTCTAAGTTAACTGTGGAAATATAGAAATCTATTAACTTGAATTCATGTCGGCTAGCTACGCTCTAAGTTAACTGTGGTTCTGCATGTTCTGGGTAAAGACTGCTTTTTTGTGGCTTGTTTTCAAACTTTAACTTTACATATTAGCTTTACTAGGGGCGAGGACCTCAGGTGCACAAAGGCATTATTTCAGACAAAATGTTGCACCTGCAGAGAACCATCGACATTTTGAAACTAGCTTGATAGGTTTTCCACACGAAAGAATAAAAAGAACCTGATGGTTTTCGAATTCATAGCAGTTCAGTTCAAGTGATTTGAATTCAGTAAACATAAACAGCTCGGCCACGGTCGGACACACCTGTCTGATTTGTTTTTTCAACAAAATTTGTTAACGTCAGCTGTACAAATAAGCAGCTTTTTTATTAGCTTCTGGCGTGAAGTTTTAAGATTGTAAATATATGAATTAATTATAAAGAGAATAACATTTAAATTTCTTATTTCGGTATGACTAGCAGAGAAATTTTCAATGTAAACATGGTGTAATCCTCTGTGAAGTCATTTTCTGAAAACCTTTGTTTAAGTTTTCAGGCAATTCATTATCAAATAAAAATCACACTTTAGTATGAAGGTATGTTAAGATGCCATGTCTCTAGTCTGTTGAAAATTCCATGTGATAATCTGACCTAAATTTTCTGAAAACTTCTTCAATACTGTTGAAAGATCATGTCTGCCTATATCTGTATCACATTTATCGGTGCACAGCGTTAAATACCTTTGCAAAACGGACACCTTCTTTACAAAATAATCTGTAGTTGTATCATATGTAAATTTAAAGTCTTTTAATGGAGAAGAATGATACTTAAGTGCAAATATAGAAAATACATTCCGTAGACCTTTCCTCATCGGCGATAAAGAAATGCAATACGACAAAATCAGAGGTAAAGTTTCGCGGCGCTGAACATAAAATGACTACGGAACGCATAACCTACTTGCAAAAATATATTGTAGCTTAACCATTTATAATATAATTTTAAAAATTTAATGTTCATTTTCAAATAATAAAGCTCATCTGTTCTCACCGATTATTAAGAAAATGAATACAATAAAATCGGCACGTAAAAGACATAAGTAATAACGGAATTGACGGAAATTATTGCTTATTACAAGTAACAAAGGCAGGCATGCAATTTGCGCATAGCTCTCTTCCGATAGCAAGAAACCTTTTCAAAATTTGTCATTCTTTCTCTTTTTTTTAAAAAAAAGGTCATTCCTGATTAATACTAGTACAGGGTTCAGGAGAGGTTACTCTGGAATCAAAAATAGTAATCACTCCCATTTCGAACTCACGGGAACAATTTTAGAAGCATGCTAAGGCAACACTGGAACACGTTGTCATATGGGTGTGCGATCACGTGTTTCAATGTATATTGCATTTGATACAGCTTTTCGGAATTTGTAGATGCTAATGATAGGTACATAAATGCGACTGAAAAATACAGCCTTTATAGAATTGTATTACATTTTCATTTTTATGGAACCAATGAGTGACATCTGCTTTTGACTTAAGTTGTTAACAAGAAATGTTGTTGGACGTTATTAGCATACCTAGCACATAATTTAAATAGTTTAAAACCAATATGCAGCCTGCAATGAAAACACAACTGCGTCATATCATATTTTATTTTGAACTGCGTCGTATCATTTCGTAAAAATCATTATTTTCTAAGAAAATAAACATCTATATATATATATATTTAATGAAATTTCAGTAAATGATGCAAAATTATGTTTTGAAGTTTATGGTGAACTCTGAAAACGAGTATATAATTGATTTGAAGGAAAAAACGATAGATAAAGCAATATGAACTGCGTCGTATCCACACATTTTCATAAAAATTCTGCTCCGCTTCGAGTTGCAAGTTCGCTATAACTTTTGTTTTACAAAATAGTTGTGCAAGCAACATATACCGAACGAAGCGGAAAATAGTGTAGCGTGTTAATACATATAACTGGTTTTCAGTCATTTCCAACAAAAAGAGTTATAAACAAAAACATACGTTTTTCATTCCAAGATGGCGGCGTTTGTTTACATTTTGTAGGATACGACGCAGTTTTGATTCCCAGCCCTGGTATTGACTATATTATTTTATATGGTCGCATGTCGATTTGTTTTGCTTTCTGTCTGCGATCGTTTGTGTTTGCACAAAAAAGATTGCTTAAAGACTGAAAAATTCTTAATAATAAGTTAAATATATACATAAATAGTACAAGTAATATACTACAACAGAAAACTGAAATATATATAAATCCCTCGCTTGTACTGATAATCTGTCATATATATAAATATACAGCCATATATTTGTTTGTTAAATGAGCTTAGTAAAATATGGATACTTACCTCATCTTTATGACATTGCACAAGGTTTTTACAATTACCAGGATTGTCAATCAAATCACAGGACAAACATCGGGGTGGTCGAGTTATGTTGCTTCTTGGAGATACTGGTATGTAATAAAAATGTTGTTTGTACTTGTGTGTTTGCGTTGCTACTAGCAAAGCTTATGAAATTCGAATTACATCAAAATAACTCTTTTTTTTACTTCCTCAACGATCAAAATAAGTAGACAAAAAACCATAAAATATGAAGTTATTGAGAATATAAGTCATTAGACAGTTTTATTTAGTATTTATTCTTGTCAAATGTAATCGTAAAATAATGTAAATAATAACTTACTTTCAGCATAACTATGACCATTACAAAATATATAATCAGAAATTCCTAAATTTTGATACACATAATGTACCTGGAAGTTGACATTTATCTAAATTACACATATCATCAGGGCACATTTCTGTACAAAATGTTTCACTCTTCCGACCAACTGGCAGCTGAAATAGTTAGCGGTGTATAGTCTGTTATTTTTATCCGAGATACAAAACATACAGAGTAAATAAAAAAGAAACAAAAATAACCATTTATAAAATCAGCTGAAATTCATAATGCACGCGACTCTATTTTCGGTAAAGTATTTTTATTAAAAGTGTTACCATATCGTGTGTGCACCCAATCGAATAATGAACACTACCATTGCTAAATCCATCCGCTCTCGTATAACACTCCTAAAAACAAAATGTTATAACTCTTTGAAAAACACAATTTTAAATTGCTCAATTTGTATTTCCTTATTTTGTTATGTATATTTAATCAACAGCTAAATAAAATATATCACGTAACATAAAAAAGAAACAATTGTAACATTTATGAATCCCTTTAAATAACTCTTATACTTAAATGAAATTGTACATAAAATTGACTTTTGCACTATACTCCATTAAATATAACGCTAATGCTTTTTCCATATCCATAGTCTATACATAAAGTAAAAATGGAAATATTATTTTAAAAACAACAAGCTGAACACAATGAATTTTTACAAAGTCTCTGATTCCGTCAACAATAATCATTTCATGTGAATGAACGTAGCAAAATACCCTATATCAGATACATTTACTAACATGGTTCACGAAAAAGTAAACTATTCAAGGATAAACAAACCTCCCTTCCGGTACACTCCACTACATTCATGCAATCTTCACTAGTTCTTATATCATTACAAGAATAACATAGCAAACCATAACAACCTTTGAAAAAATACAATAATATAACCATGAAACTTTTTAATCTGTAGCTGCAATATATTAAATAACCCATTTTATTCAACAATAACAACAGGTTATACATTATTTTATCAATTTAACATGTATACTATACTTGATTGTACTAAGCACGATTCTAAAGGTAATACTAGCAATCGACATGCATACATAACTAACCTGATACGCCACAAAGTATCAGCATCAGTTGAAGTTTGTCTGGAAGAAAATAACGTTTGTATTAACTATCAAATATATATGTACACTAGTCAAATATGGGAATCGGAACGCCAACAGTAAAGGTTAATGGGTATTGATTTGAATCATGATTACTTCGATAGTTTTATTCTTCGACTTCCCTTGAATTAGAAATAACAATAAACGACAGAGAAAGGTGAGACGTGGAAATTAATCAAGTTATGACCTGTCATGTTAATCATCTATAATGACCTTTCAATGTATCTTCCTTAAATCAATGATTTCAAAAGAAATAAATAATAAGGCAAAACAAAATGCCCCAATTCGTGCTGATACGTTGTCATTGTTAATATTGTTAATGTTGCGTGTAGATTTACACACAAAAAACTTACCGAAGGCTGCAATCATGGTTGTAATTGTCAATTTGAAACGCTCCTACTGATTTTCTTATCAGAAGTAGGACAGGACAATTAGATAACAAGCTAGTATTAAAAAACGTAGCACTCAATATATAGTGTACAGAAACTTGAATAGGAAATACGTCATATTTTTAACAACCAAACAATATGAAAAACTCATCACATTCGTTTGTTCCTCTAATGCTGTAGTGTTGATAAATTGCACCCAACTAACGGAATATGGGCTTTTTAAGATTATATTTCAGTCACATTTATGGAAACAGAAGACGAGGAAATAGTGAATTATATTGCACTATTTGGTCTGAATTAATTTTGAATATGAACAGAAAATTATTTTAATAATCTTATCAATGTTTATGATGTTTAACTAGATGTAATACAATTCAAACCTGATGTTGATGCTCAGCGGATGATGATGCTCCGTTAAATAGGTGTGTAGATTTAAGTGATTGATATATTCTAGATTAACTTCATTGGATACTTGAGACACTTTAAGATGCTTTATTGACAACAAGATAATCTTATATCTATTTATAGCACGAATCTACTTGCTAATTATATTTTGTTACACATTTATAGTACGTCCATATATCACGTATGTTTAATTGTTGTATCGCATTATTTAAAGATGCAAAAACAATAATATTGCTTTATCGACATTTCAATTATCCGATTTTTCTTTTCAAAAAACGAAAAGACGAAACGATAAAAAAACATAAATGAAAATAACGAATTGCACAAAAATGAGAATAAAAATACTTACTCCTTTTCACTGCCTGATTGAGTGTACGATGCCTTATTAACCGCAAGACTCGCATCTTTTGATAAAAGTGGCTGTCTTTCGCCTTCTGCGTCCATATCTTATATTGGTAAAATTAAGTTAATATTGTTTAACTAGGTAGGTTACACTGTTAAAACATTATAGATGAATGATGCGATGATTGATGCGGTGATTGATGTTATGAATGATGTGATGATTGATGTTATGAATGATGTGGTGAATGATGTGGTGATTGATGCGGTGAATGATGCGATGATTTATGTGATGCATGATGTGATGAATGATGTGATGATTGATGTTATGAATGATGTGGTGACTGCTGTGATGAATGATGCGGTGTTTGATGTTATAAATGATGCGGTGAATGATGTTATAAATGATGTGATAATTAATGCGGTGAATGATGTTATGAATGATGTGATGAATGGTGTGATTGATGTGATGAATGATGTGGTGACTGGTGTGATGAATGATTTTGGTCGAGGGCTCTACAGCTGAAATATCGAGGGCTATTATTTTAACAAATTGGGCCAACGCTCAGTAGGGATAACCTACGCTGAGCGATTCTGTAAAGAAATTTAAAAGAGAAAGAGTTCTTAGATGGACGTATATTAGATAAAGCAGATACGAATGAGGTTTTCCAAGTTTGTTTAAAAGCAACCGTGTTCATTTTCATAGGCAATTCCAAATAGCAGTGGAAGCACCTTTCATCTCATTCAGTAGTTTACATTTTATATATGGAGAACAACAGTCAATACAGCGAGTAACCTATGTTTGCTTTGTGTGCAAGCAGTGGCAGGTTAGCTACCCACATGCGACTCGTTGTTTTATTGTTATATTTATTTTCTGTTTATGCATCACAAAATACAAATCTGAACTAGATCTAATAGAACTAAACGAATATGGTTAATATTTTTATAATTTTAACTTCTTGCGTGTCTTACACAGCTTTTCAACACCAGTGCACTTAAATAGCGGCAGGAAAAGGTCAAGGTTGCAAAGCAAGTAAACCTGTTTTGATCAACTGAAGTAAAATGACTATATGTATCTGTATGGAAATGAAACGAGGTTTATGAGTATGTAAACGCCTTTGGCTTATGCATTTAAAATACTTAGAACTGATGTATGAGAAAGATAAACAAAAGACTTTAATAACTGCGCACGATTTCTACAAAGGAACAGGGCTGCAGATTGCGGCGCATAATTTCGATCGTGTCACGGTCTTTTAAAATGAGTCTGCTATATTTGAATGTAATTTAGTATTATCCGAGTGTATGGCCTCAAAAGATATATTATGAATTGCACACAATATGTTATTTTAAACAATTGGTCAAATTTTACGACAAGGAGTGACATCCGCCGTTTGCCGCAACGTTAGGCATCAATCCCCCCCCCCTTGGCTACGCTTGATTACTATTTATTCAAATTGTTTTCCCGTTATCGTTGTCAACTATTAGGAATAGTCCGGATATAACTTTTTCTATATACCGTTATTTTGACTGCATTTTTAACTAGCAGATTATATTAAATTGAGGTAATGATATTAAAGACCACCCAATCGGATACTAGTAATATGAAAATATATTCATAGGTCGGACAAACAATATGTAAAGCCGGTACGGATTTGGATTTATGCACCACAATATGCGGTCCTGTTCCCTGGTTCCTTCGCATTTCTACTGTAAAATCAATCATTTATCACAAATAGCATGTTGATTATTACTTGAATCGTTTCTACATTTCGTAAAATTTTAGTACATTTTTCTGAAATATTATTCTATTGAAATATGTTGGTACACTCGGAGGCGGCAGCTTGAAGATGAAAATTGAGAGAATCATTCAAATTTGAATGGTAAAATTAATATCAAAATAAACTGAACAGATTAAGACATAGCTCATAGATAAGGAAACCCGTAGTTATGGAGACACAAGTGTTAATTTGTTAAAGAACAAGAAGAAGTTTACAGAGAGGCACCACAGAGACATTGATGCAGTGTCATTTAGTAGTAAACAATTATTTTTTTGATCAGATGTAATTTATATCAATGTATTTTAGTTCGATTGTGTTGGAAGCTATAAGCATATTGAAACACTGTCAAATCACTTTCAAATCCGTTCCTGGAACACAACATCTAATTACCAAGCAAAGCGTGTAGAGATTCTTGCTCAGGAATCAACGGCTTGCCCCTGACAGGGTTTGAACCCAAGCGGCAAGCAATCCTTAGATTACTTCGAGTAACTACTTGAGTTTTAAAACAAATGAAAAATACGTTAAAAGATAAAAATATAATACATTTAAGACACATAATGCTTGCTTCATTATGCATTTCGACTGTTCGTCTTCATTTATTTGTGTACCGACATAATTATTCAACAAGAAATAATATAATTCAATAACATGAGTTCCGGAAGCATTTAGCATTTCAGATTCCGTTAATATAATAATATTTACATTCATGTATTTTCTTAGGGCTTTGGTGGAAGGTCCCAGCTTATATTACTGAAAGTTGATGAGAAATACAAAACTGTGAAAATTATCATGCATATATTGAGGGAATGTTTTAGTATTTGATATTTGTCCCATGCTTTATCACTTACCAGAAGTTATATATGTACACACAACCTTTAAATATCTATTGTCAGGAAAAGTCATTTGCTTGGGGTTGCAAGTTTATTAATAATGAATTTTGAATGCTGGGTGATTAGTATTGAAAAAAAACCCATAGAGGACATGTGTTAACTGAACTGTTTGCGACAAAAATATAACTCCTATAAATATTCATGGTCCCAGATTTTCACTGTCCTTGTAAATGTGGATCATTGTTTTTATTACATACAGTGGGCAACATAATGCTTGTCAGGGACTATAACAAACCTAGGGGGAATATGTGAACTGTTCTTAAACGCAAAATACACATTGCAATTGATAAATCCCTATTCTGATATTTTATTTGAATAAAAATAGATTTAACCACAAATATTGACATATTTTCTCTTTTTTTACAAATGGCTTTGGTGAAATTCTTATTAAAATCCACCAATCTCATTATTTGAATTAGACAGATTAGAGTAATATACGAGTAGTGATCTATCTACTGGATTTGACTTGCCGTATTAAAACCATCTACAAAATATATTATTATGTTTGGTATATCATATCACTTACAAAATATCAATTTGAAGCGATGATGGCGCAGTATGGTTTGGTTTGAAATATTACAAACCTGTGATATTGCTATAATATTTTAAATAAAGTAAAGTTTATGGCTGAAGTTCTTCTTGTTTATCCATTTTCACATCTTTTTCCCAGTAAGGTATGGCCTTGAGGGTATCGATTTACCGACTTTCCTGTAGGATGCCACTTTCATTCAATTGTCGTATTGTTCTTTGATATGCCAGTGAATGTTGATTTTCTTAATTTTCTGCATCATCTTTAACATTGTTGACACCGTTCTTTGACCTCACTGTACGACCGAGAAAATCTCCAATTTACTCAAAAGAACTAAGGTCACAAGAAACAGATGATCAATACAAAACGTTAACACTAATTGCAATTATGTGCATTCATTTGTTCTAATTCATAATGCGTGTATACAACTTTTGTAAGAAGATATTCCTCAAATTGTGTCTTTTTTTCATTTTGATGCTTACAGCGCAAAACATTCGTACATGCAAACCATATTTTGAAACAAGTTTTTTCACTTTTTATGTAATTTAGTGTCTTAAATTATAGTACCAAATATCATATAAGTCTTTCATCAAAGAAAATATATAGCATTTTTAAAACGAGTATTTATTTTTCATGTAATTTTCTGATTTAAGTGCTTCCAAAGGATCACTTTTTTCCAGATATTTACATGTATACATCACAACAGCAGATGTGGCAGCAGGAAATAAATGTTCTTCTCTTCAATGTTGTTCTATCTTATCATTGATTCCAGCACTTTTAACTGTTAAAAACTGATTACCGCCCAAGACAGTGCTAGGGGACGTGACGGATGTTACATTTTGTCATTATCCCTTATGTATTATCAAGTTAACAAAGATTATTATGGCATGCTTTACTTTGACACATTATTGGTCTATTTGCTTTACAATTAGGAGCTAACGGAATCTTTAAAGGAAAGGTTAAACGCAGAAGACGAAAGGATCTACAACTATTACCTGGCAAGATAAGTGATTTCCATATCATGCATGTTACACTATGTGAGTAGGCTGGCAATACTAGATGGTTATTTGAACATAATGAAAAAAACACTTGAATGTTTCAATGAATTTTTTTTTATTCAATGATAGCATTTAGTAAAATATTAGTGTCATTGTTTACACTGTTCTCCTCCATACCTAGGAGTTGGACAAGAACATGTTGATCGCATCATAGAGAAAGAGTTTGATAAACTGTATTCACCCCTATAATTGCGTGTGCATGTCGTAGTATAACCTTGTTTTGTACACCAACCGCCATGTACTACAAAAATAGAACCAATTACCATTGTTTGCTTTTAATAAATAATAAACAATTCAAAATAAGTAAATACAGATATCTAGCTACATGTTTTGCCTCCATTCGACGGGGAAGGACACCCGCAAGTTGTTCGTTCATAGCCATAGCCATTATTTCTGTACTGTCGGTAGTAACTCGAGTAAGAGCATTCAATTACTTGCCTCCAGCACCATTCCCCGTCGACTGGAATTAGTGAACATTGAAATAAATTACTTAAGGACCATTGTAAAGTTCCTGATTAACAGTGCTATTCCAGCAAACAACATCGGCGGGGATTTGAAAAAGAGATGTACGTTCGTCGGTTTCAAGTCCGACGATTTTCTAAAAACTGGTTGGTCAAATTATAATGCATCATGCCATTAATAAAAATAAATGAACAGGGGAACAAACTGATTAAATGTCTAGGATTTTGTATGAACTTATGCTAGTTTAAATGCTTTGTGTCATTTTAAAAGGAAATCGTCTCGTCTCAGTATGAATATCATAGTCGGCAAATTGTATGATGCTCACGAATTGCTATTGAAATCTTTACTGCATATTTTTGACTTACGGTTCTTAATCTCACAAAATTGGTTGAGCGATATTTTTACATATCGGAAATTTTTTGGAAAATACGTTATGAAGTGGCTATGATGATATATTAAAGATATATAGAAATAAAAGTCAATGTATTTTTGTAATTTTAAGTATCAAAATGTGCAAATGATAACAATTTAATAAAATTGATGCTTGAATGAAATGTTCAAAACAGATATATTTTAAGTACATAAATTAAATAAGATAAGACTTTAGTGAAATCCTGTAAATGTTTTTGTTTCCCTTATTCGATGTGCCATCAAACTATTTGCTGTTTTAAACTATCATTTATAAATAATCTTTTTTTGTGAGAAATGGCAGAAACAAACCTATATTTAATCAAAGTGCTCGTAAGAAACATTCTATTCGTCAATTATAGTTATGTACTGAATGGTATAAAATCAATGTTTGAATGAAATGTTCTAAACTGAAATATTTAATGTATATAAACCTGGACAAGGTTGCGACGAACATTCCTCAATTTCTAAAGTATCACCAGTGCAATTCATGCCACCAAACTGAGGTCCAGGGTCAGTGCATTCCCTGTGCCGGGTACGTGTCCCATTTTCGCAAGTAACAGAGCAATTACCCCAGGCGCTCCAGTCTGACCATTGACCGTTAACTACAAAAAAATAAGACTAAAGATAAATGACAAAGGTAACATTCACATAAGACAGCCCCTACACAGTCCAGCAGTCCAAGTGCGCATTTCATTTATAAAACAAAGTAATATCTGAAATGCGACACATTCTAACAATATCAAGAAGAAATCAGTTTGTTTTGCCAAAATAGAATAACATCGACAATATCTTAAATGTACAAATTTTTAACTTGTTAATAATTTAACTTGCCAATGAATCTTCTTTGTGTTATTTTAAATATCTTAATTTTCCCATATTGTGTATTGCCTTTATTTCCAAATTCAATATGTTTATTTCTGCATAATTATATAAGAAGTCGAAAAGTTTTGACAAATACAATGAATGACATGAAAGAAAAAGTACAGTAACCTATTTGGTATTTCTTACCTTCTATAAGTTCTATGTACAAATGCATTTGACTTTTTTGATGGGCTTTTCCAGTATTCCTTACTTGAATGTTTCATGATCACCTTTAAGATATATATAACTTGCCTATTTTGATATATCTTATATATATTGACATCAAAATCTATGGAGCCTGTTCAAATTCCTTTTATTTATTTCCGCTCATTGTTTTCCCATTGAGGGCACAAGCATTTTTTTAATTATAATTGCTGACCGTACGCCACTTATCATGGAATGGCAGGCACATGTTTCATTGATGGTTTCCATGATGACCGCCAGACGTGCGGATGTTTCTTAATTCAAAATGTTACATTTACCATGTTTTAATTTTGAATTCTGCTTAAGCCTGTGCTAGGGATGTGGACGGTTACTCAGACTTTCCAGTACCGTCGATCGAACCGACACTGCAACATTTTAAATTTTGTTGTTTTTAACGTCCTTTAGAGATTCTTGTTTTGCTCTCATTTAGATATTTGGCATGCTTTATGACTAAGTTGATATCTGCAAAATTGTCTTCTCTTACATTACAACGTCCAATAGATTTTGGACCTGTTTTGTGAAGGACAGACAGGTGGACAAGAAGGCATACACTATTAGTGGTGGCAACTTTGAAGCTCGTATCAGCTATTTTCAGCAGGCGACACAGAAATTATTAAATGAAAGAAAATGCTTTTATATTTACATGATTTAAGGACTGTAACTAAGCAAAAATTCATTCAACCGACAAACCCGTGTAATATGCACAAGAACTTGAGGTACCGGTCAATCCTGTAATGTTTCAAACAAATTGAATTTACGATATAAGAAAAGTTGCCCGAATAAACTTTAATAAATTCTTACAATACTTAAAGGGCCATGACTCGGACATAAATCGTTGATCTTGAAAATGCCGACGATATATAGACTAGACGGACAGAAGGACGCTGTAACAAACAGTACTTATGGCTCTCTACTGTTGCCCTTTATAAGGGAAAAAAACACATAAAACATACACAATTAATGACATCAAAGAAAAGGTACATTACCTATTGTTCTTTTAGCCACATCAGTTACCAATGTAAGCTCGAACATACGTACAAACATACTACGGAGACGAGATCCATATAATTATGGTGCCGTTCATCAACAGCAGGCGACACAACAAACAATACACAATAAATCTCTTAAATGTATCTTACAGGCTTTTCCCTTTTTTAGCATGAATCTCATATGGACCTCCCATTCAACCCATATCTTAAAATACCTCTAGCTATTCCATAGTCTAGCTTAACAAATTTCAACTTTCCTATTTTTAAAAAAATCTTATACATGTATGTATCTTTTTTGATATTAAATTTAATCTTCATTTTAGCTTGCCAAATATCTAGTTTTACTAGATCAGTGATAAGATGACCATGACCATGTTAAAACTACCATATTTTTTACCAGATTGCCTATACCATTCATATAATTGACAAAATTAGAGAAGTTTTGGTATTAAGTCATATTTTAGATGAAATATACCTGCACATGGTTCAATGCTACAGTTCTTAGTATCATTTCTTGCTCCTACACACGTCTCGTTCTTCGATGCATCAAGCTGATGCACGCATATTCTGTTCCTTACAGATGTTCCCCTGTCACATGACACGGAACATTGAGACCATTCTCCCCACTCTGTCCAGCCAAAGTGCCCTGTAATAATATAATATCAAAAAAGTTATTAAATGATGTGTCATTCGTGCATACACTTTAATCATTGGAATGTCATTGATCATTGAATTGGATTACATGTTATTTGCCAATTTTTAATTTCAAGGTTTGTTTATTATGCCCCCACCCCTTCAAAGAAAGGTTGGTAAATTGTTTTGCAAATGTCGGTCGGCCTGTCGGTCTGTCCGTCTGTAGACCGCATGTTTTCTGCTGATTATCTTAAAAAATATATATCACAAAGTCTTCATATTTCCCATACTGATTAGTCAAAACTAGTAGATAAAACATATTAAAAATAGGGCCACTAGGTCAAACGTCAAGGTCACAGTGGCTTTAGATGTCAGAATTGTTTCCACTGATTGTCTTGAAAACTATTCATTACAAAGTCTTTATATTTTACATACTGATTGGTTTTAACTAGTAGATAAAAAATATTTTTTTCTGGATCACTACATCAAAGGTCTAGGTCACAGAAGTCTTAAAAGTCAGAAAACTATCCACTGACTATCTTGAATACTTTTCATTACAACGTCTTCATATTTCACATACAGATTGGCCATAAGTAGAAAAAAACCCTATTGATTTAATTTCAGGTCACTGGGTCAAAGATCAAGGTCACAAGGGCCTTAAATGTCAAAATGGTTTCCGTTGATTGTCTTAAAAACTATTCATCACAAAGTCTTTATATTTCACATACTATTGATCATAACCAGTAGCTGGAACCAATTGAATTTTGGATCACTACATCAAAGATCAAGGTCACAGGGGTCTTAAAAGTCAGAATGGTTTCCGCTGATTATCTTGAAAACTATTCATTACAACGTCATCATATAACACATACTCATTGGACATAAGCTGTAGATAACCCTATTGATTTTCTGGTCACTTGGTCAAAGATCCTTAAATGTCAGACTGGTTTCCGCTGATTGTCTTAAAAAACTATTTCTCACAAAGTCTTCAAATTTCACATATTGATTTGGCATAACTAGTAAATATACTCCATAGATTTTAGGGTCACTAGATCAAAGGTCAAGTGGCCTTGGATGTAAGAATGGTTTCCATTGACTTTTTTTAAAACCATTCATCACAACGTCAATATATTTCACATACTAATTGGTCATAACTAGTAAATGGGAACCTATTGATTTTTGGGTCGCTGCATCAAAGGTCAAGGTCACAGGGGTCTCAAAAGTCAGACTGTTTCCGCTGATTATCTTGAATACTATTCATTACAACGTCTTCATATTTCACATACTGATTTGACATCAGTAGTAAATAACACCTATTGATTTTCGGGTCACTGGGTCAAAGATCAAGGTCATAGCGGCTTTAATATCAGAATTGTTTCCACTAATTATCTTGAAAACTATATACCACAATGTCTTTATATTTCACATACTAATTGGTCTTAATTAGTTGATGACCCCTAGTAATTTGCGGGTCACTAGGTCAAAGGTCAGTCTCACAGGGGCTTTAAATGTCAGAATGGTTACATTTATTTGATAATTTATATTTTGTTCCAGCTACCCTCCAACTTATATAACTTATTAATGATATTTTACATTCAGTTTCGGTCATATATTGGTCATTATTTTTTTCATCACTGAACACTTCCATGTACCCATATATAGCATGTTTCTATCACAAAATTACCAATAGTATGAGTCAAGGGATAGAAAGGGGGCATTTGTGTTATTTGATATTTCTTGTTTGGTTTTTAGTTTAGATTTTATTCATTAATTATTTATTTATTTATTTATTTATAATCTATTTGTTGCATTTTTAACCGATTAAAAATGAACGTGATTAAAGCTAATTAAACACAAAGCAATCGATTTTAGTATTTGAATAGTCGATTCTATTTTTCATAATTTCAGTTCTGACCATTTGGATGTTTTCAAAGGATTCTGATTTTTTTTTATTTCGTTTCGTCAATAGTACCAGATTATAAAAGACGGAGGTGAAACAATTGGTCTGAAGAAAGGGTTTTTCATCAAGAGGACTATTGTGATCCTATATCGTGACCAGAATGTCATTGCCTTTATGCAAACAAATGTGTAACTACACAGTAAAGCTCCAGATATTTTAGTTCTTAGCCTGGTGCTTGTTAGGAGAAGTATCTTAAAATGTTTGCTTAAATGTGTTTAATATGTTAAATAAAATGAAACTAAGGGTGAGTTTATTGCAGTTATGGAGAAGACAGTTGTTAAACCTTTCTCTTTAGGACGTGTTGACAGTTTGTCCTTGTTCTTAGAATTGTACGGAGCCAGTTGATTCTGACTCTAGGATAATTACTCGAATACGCATAGAAGCGATTTCCTATACAATGCTGCACACACTGGAGTGAAATAGGATATCTACAGAAAGCCCAAAACGAAAAACCCTAAAATGTTGCAAGCCTGCTTCGACAGAGCCTGTTCGTGAACGGTACTGGAAAGTATATTAAATAACCTTTCACGTCCACACCAACCACCAGCTTTAAAAATAAATATATAACAATTACGTCTGGCAGTTTTAAAGAAGGGGTTTGTATGAGTCAATGTTAAAACAAATGAGCCACAGACAATATTTTAATAAACGTGTTAAGAGGTCCTGGAAGCAATTTTAAACACCTGATATATAAACATCGAATAAAGGAAAAGCAGATTCTTAATATATACGAGGTTATGCAAATTAAAGTGATTCTAAGGTTCATAATTTGTCCAATTTTAAAAGTATCTATTTGTAATGCTACACATAACATACCGAATAACTCGGCCTTGTTGTAATACCAAAGATTTTTAAATTCCACTATCTAAAATTATATGGACCATTAAATCCATAAAAATTGAGCAAATTTTATCCCAGGAGTGTAATTTCAAATTTTGTAGCAGATAACTAGGCAGTTTAACACGCCAATAATTTGTATTTAGTTCCTATGTTTTTAATAATTATATTTTTAAACCTAACATATTTTCAATGAAGTTTAGCTTCTGTAACCCTGACGTGCAACCGACTACTCGAACAACTTGTTTAGAACTTGATGAAAATGAAAGGAACATATCAAGTAAGTTTTATTTTTTATTTTCTTTTTAGTTTTTTTTTCTCTCTTTTTTTAGAGAGTTTTTTTTCAGAGCAGATGTCTTTGAAACATTTGTAGGCGACAGATTGACGAATGACGGGACTAACAGTCAGCATTGTATCCCTTTTAGTAATACTTTGACACACATAACTTCGGTACACCGGGTTTTTTTTATTTTTAAATGTTCATTTCTTGTGTTACGGGTGGTATCGTGCTCTTTCCAGTATCGCCCATGAATAGGCTAAACAAAACTGAGCCTGCAACATTATCAGTTTTGTTCCTATTCCTTCTATTTCACTTTTAAGATCACGCTGTATTAAAATATATCACCTCTTATGATTGTAATGTAGGAACTTTGGTTCATTTCTGTGTTGGTAAGATGTTAATAATTTTTTGCTTACACTGAATAGCTAAATATGCAGTGTATAATTCATTTAATATTTATACTTCGATATACAATGTGTTACTCATGAGATAGAGAGAAACGTTGTACTTTCTATATAACTCCTGACAATTATTTCTGAAACGTTGCTGTAATATCGATAATGGCTTACAACGTTATGCTCTATTATGGGTATAAGAAGTGACTCGACCCAATTGATATTACTTATGTAGCTTTTATCTTTACTGATTCAATACGCAACATCTAGATTTGTTTACATACCACACATTCCGCAAGATGCAGGACAGAGGTTATCCACATCAGCTATAGCTTTACATGCATCCGAATTAAGTGCACCAAATGCAGCACAGGCCGTTGGATTGTAATCAAAGCATGTCTTCACATTTCCAAGGAGATGCAAATCAAAGACGTGTCTATCTAAAACGGAAATAATATCACATTATGCTTGACAATAACATGTCTTTTGGATATTTTTTGTAGAACATTTGTGAAAAAAATGGGGAAAAAATAAAAAATGGAGATCCCTTGAATGTACTGCGGTGTTTATTAAGTTTGGTCATGAGATAATTAACGAGCACGAATTCAACACAATAAAGTATTGGGAGATATCTGAAAAACATATAAAGGAATTATATTAACGTAATAAAGCAATTATGACAAAAGGATGTTCGTGACCATTCACCTTTGTATTACTTTCACCATTTGCTACGGTCTTATATCTCGGGCCGAGACCGAGTTCTAATTATATGTTCCAACTGAAGTCAGAGTCCATAAACAAATAAATTATGGCTTTATGGTATTTGATTTTTTCATTTCTGCTACGGGTTTTGAACAATATATATCGTTTAAACATTTTCTAGTGAACATTTCTGCAAAAATATGAAACTTATGAACCATATACAAAACTGACTATAAATCTTTGCCTTGTACCTGGGTGGTTTAACTGTAATTTGTTGGGCATCAGTTATACAGATTGCCAATAGTTCATGTAAAATTTATCGAAACAACACATTTTAGTGAGGCATTAAACATTCTGTTACACTACATAATATGTATAATTTGTTATTTTTTGAACCTATGTTACCTTCTGTTTTCGATTAAACTTAATTTATGCCAATTAGATTGTTTATACAGGTAGCTAGTATGAGATGTTTCCTTACCCGAAGGCTGTTGAATTCCACAAGCTTTTACATTACAGTGATCCTTAGAACAGCACAAGGAACACGAACTATGTATCACATCAGAGCGCTTCCCTACTAACGCCGATGATGGTGAGGATAGTTTTGGCGCAGCAGAACAATGCTTGAAATATTAGAGGAAACGGGAAATACTAGGAAAGTTAAAGGAAAACAACGTTTTTGTCTCGTACTTATTTGTTACGACCGTGGATTGTGGCTAAATCGCTTGTTCTTTTGCTTTTGGTCAAACTGACACTATTAAGGACAAATGGCGACTTAACGTGTCACATTGAAGGTTCCATGATCACCGCCGTATGAACACATCTGCGGATATTTCTAGATTAAAAATTGTACCATTCTATTTCCCTCTCTATTCAAAGCTTTAAGTGAAGGAGACACACATAGGGTACACCTGCGTGTATTGATCAATTTCGTCCTGGACATTTTCAGTCTTGCCTTGTTAGGTGATATAGAGCAATATTTCTGTC